GACTGCTCAATGAGGTGAAGAAGAATCCTAGAGTGTCAGCTAAAGACTTACAAAAGTCACTGGCAAATGCTAACATCCCTATTAGTGAATCTACAATACGTAAAACACTAAACAAGAATGGATTTCATGGGAGGATACCACAGAGGAAGCCACTGCTGTCCAAACAAAACATTACTGCACGTTTACAGTTTGCACAAGAGCACCTAGATGTTCCACAGCAGTACTGGCAAAATATTCTGTGGACAGATGAAACCAAAGTTGAGTTGTTTGGAAGAAACACACAACACTATGTGTGGCAAAAAAAAAGGCACAGCACACCAACATCAAAACCTCATCCCAACTGTGAAGTATGGTGGTGGGGGCATCATGGTTTGGGGCTGCTTTGCTGCGTCAGGGCCTGGACGGATTGCTATCATCGAAGGAAAAATGAATTCCCAAGTTTATCAAGACATTTTGCAGGAGAACTTAAGGCCATCTGTCTACCAGCTGAAGCTCAACAGAAGATGGGTGTTGCAACAGGACAATGACCCAAAGCATAGAAGTAAATCAACAACAGAATGGCTTAAACAGAAGACAATACGCCTTCTGAAGTGGCCCAGTCAGAGTCCTCACCTCAACCCGATTGAGATGCTGTGGCATGACCTCAAGAAAGCGATTCACACCAGACATCCAAAGAATATTGCTGAACTGAAACAGTTCTGTAAAGAGGAATGGTCAAGAATTACTCCTGACCGTTGTGTACGTCTGATCTGCAGCTACAGAAAACGTTTGGTTGAAGATATTGCTGCCAAAGGAGGTTCAACCAGTAATTAAATCCAAGGGTTCACATACTTTCTCCACCTGCACTGTGAATGTTTATTTACATGGTGTGTTCAATAAAAACATGGCAACATTTCATTCTTTGTGTGATCAGATCACATTTTATGACCAATTTGTGCAGAAATCCATATCATTCCAAAGGGCTCACATATTTTTCTTGCAACTGTATATAGTTTGACATAGGGCTCTTAATTTTTAGATATCTAAAAACCTCTTTTGAGGAGAGATTACATTAACGTGAGAGCTCTTGGAAGGATTGTATATGCTGCCCATTTAGAATATCGCTAGTTGAAATTAAAACTGAATTTTGGCTGACAATAAGATGGTGAGCTTTGCTCTGTTTGTCAGTTTCTTGTAGATATCCTCATCTAGTGAGTTTTTATACAGCAATTCAAGCTATGCGACTTGCGCAAGAAGATCTGCTATTTCTTGTGATCGTTGTTTCTTTTGCCTCCTGCCATGCTTAATCAGGAGACCTCATATGGCACCTTTGTGCTATTCCCAGATCTTGTAATGGGTGGAATCCAGCTGCTTGTTGATCTGGAAGAACTGTTCAGGTTGGGTGTTGAGATCTGCCGCAATGAGGGGATCATCAAGAAGTGATTCATTAAGTCTCCAGATCCTTTGTTGGCGCAACGGCATAGGTGAGTCAATCGTTATGATCACAGTGGTATCGTTGGACCAGGTCATTGGAGCAATTCAGGCAGAGCAGAGCACGTCCAGGCGTTGGTGCTGGCCAATAAAGTAATCGATTCGGGATTATGAGAAAAAACGTCTAATCCTTGTCCTCCTAGTGAAGAGTGTGCCAGCAGTTGGTAGTCATGTAGGAGGGTCCTCATGCCTCTGATGACGTGGTCGGGGTACACTAATGTGCCAGAGGTTGTATCTACCCTGGGGTCCAGGGAAGTGTTGAAGTCTCCTCCTAAAATAAGTACTTCCTCAGTGAAGGTATCTAGGTTTCAGAGTGTAGAAGCTGTTTTTTTGGCCATTATGAGGCAGGTATAAATTTGTGACGGTATATATTGTATCGTGGATTTTCCCCTTCAGGAAAATGAATCTCCCCACAGGGTCTCCTCAGCTAGTTGAATGGTATGTCTGCTAAAAACAGAACTGCCACTCTGTTGGTTTTAAAGGAAGGGTTATTTGCAAAATAGCCTGTGGGGTACTATTTATTTGAGAACCTAGGTGCCTTTACCGACAGGAAGGGTGTCTCCTGGAAATAGGCCACTGTGATATTGAGTGCTCTCAGTTCTCGTAGTGCTCAGCTCTGTTCGTTCAGAGATTTCAAGCCTCTTGCATTGACCATGTATAGCGAGATCCCCGACTTGGGCTCCGCTAGCCTCTCCCTGAAACAGGGGCAGGAGGAGGTGGCGGCATAAGAGGAGAGGAAAAAAAAGTAGGGTGGGGGGGTTGAATAACAACAAGAAGGAGGGGAAGGGTGAAAATTTAAGTAGAGGAGGGGACAAAGAAGATGTAGATATTGATAATGTAACTCTAGATGAGGAGGTAAGAGAAGTTAAGGTCCACCTCCAGGAAATTGCAAGGTGGCCATAGCAATATCAGTGTGGAAAAACAGAAAGACCCTACAGCAAGATGCCCGCTTTCCACAGACAGGTCGTGTCTTCCCATGATAAACTGATAAGGAATGATAACCTAGGTCAGATGACCAACCCAGAAATAACAACGAAACTATGATATGTAAGCAGTAATGATACAACAGTGAGGGTTAACTTAGAGTGCGAGTGAAGGTACAATCAGTAAAGGTTTCAGCATATATTTTATATAAGTATTTGGCATCTACTATAAACAGCTTTCTACTGACTCAGTTTTCCACTGTCCCAGTGAGAGAGAGAGAGTTAGAGAGAAAAGCAGCCACCCTACACAAAACCTTTACAACCGTAGTTAGAAGCACAAGTATTGGAAACATAGTGACATTCCCCCTCGAGTTCCTCCTGCCTCCCCCGTCCCCAGAGCCAGTTCCATACAATGATATCATCCATATTGAGTAGTTTCAAATATCATGTCCCTAGCTACATCATCCTGACTTTGCCATATGTCTTGTCCTCCTCCCAGAAAGTCTGTCAGTCTCATATCATCAGTCGACCCCCCATCCCAGGTCCCCCTCGACCCACCAGTATTCCCCTCCAGCTCACCAATTCCTACACCCCATTGCCTGACTACTCCCTGCCATGGTGTAGCCACCCTGAAGCAGACCGAAGAAGGAGGAGTGAGGGAGCTCCCAGTGCAGAGCGCCCGGTTGAGCATGCAGGGGCCCCCGAGCTGACAGGTATCATTCACATCTCCAAATAATATCACCAATTCAAGAAGCACAATTAGTGGGGGGAACATGGTAACATCTCCCCGATCCTCCCTCGTTCCCCTCCATCCTCAACCGAGCGGAAGGGGAGCAGAGCAGAGGAGGGTGGAGCAGGGAGACGCCCATTATACCCCCAGGACTCCAATGTATTCAATAAGGACTCACAGTCCTTATTGCTTCAAAAGATATAGCAAACCTCCAACCCCCCTGTAAGCAGGCAAAATGAAAACAGAAGGGCAATACAAGCCCCTTTAAACCACATGTGTAGTCTCCGAAAAAGGCTAAATTGATAACAGGCTTATCTGTAGTAGGCCATACTGGTTAAGGCATAAGAGTCTGTTGTATCCATTCCTAGCAGGTGTGAGCTGTCGGCAGTGTCTCTTTAGTTGTGCTGGGAATATTCCCTGTTGCAGGTATGGAGTCAAAGGTACCAGGCTGTGTAGATTAGGTCATCAGGCACAGGGGACCTAGAGGGTGGAATAGATGTGGCCACCAATTAGGGCGAGAAAAAAAATAAATGTACTTTTACAGATTGAGGGAGATAAAACAATAGGGTCAGTCTTGAGCCATATAGGTCACTATATGGAAGAGAGCTGCTCCTCAGATTTGGTCTGATGGGGGCGCCACTCCAATGAGTGGCCCTACTTCCTTGTGGATCGGTCAGGAATTCGGCCTTCCAAGGTTCTGCTCATTTAGTGGGTATGTCGTCCAGTCCATAACCTGTACCGCTGGTAGGCCAAGCATGTTGAGAAGGAGGGCACATCCTGGGGTGTTCTGACAAGGCTTCCACATTATGCCTATAAGTAGACAGGGCAAAATGGAAATACCATCTGTATCGAAGTTGGTGATCCTGCAGCAGAGCAGTGGGAGGCCACAAGGCCCTCCTTGTCTGCAGAGTAAGGTGGGAGATATTGTTGTATATTTCTACTTCTTGTCCTTCGAAGCACCAGGAGTAAGCAGTGCTTGCTTTCCTTATTATGTCTTCCTTAGTTAGGACATTTTGCACACAGCAAACTACGTCTCTCAGAGGGGCATTAGGTGGAGGCCTGGGGTGTCTAGGCGGAGGTGAACATCAGGCAGATGACCTGAATGAAGTTGAACAGTCAAGTAAGCAGACTCTGCCCTCTCTGAGTCCTCCCACTTGTATATTGTGCCTATGACTTCTATTGTCTAGGTCTTCCATGTGGAGTCACAGATCTTGCAGGCCGTGAAGCATTTGCCATAGGAGCCCTGATTCTTCCAGTGTTGCAACCCTTTTTTCGGAATGTGGTAATCTTCATGCAGAGGGTGTGTTTAGAAACGGTAGGTGGCGCCAATATATAAGTACTATAAACAGATAAAACACATATAAAGTATGTAGAAGTGTAAAAAATAAAAATTGAGTGTTCCAAAGATAAAGTTCAGGAGAGTCTTTTGAAAATTAGCCGTAAAGCCAACGATAATTCTATGGATAGGAAGCCGCTCTATGAGGTAGGAGTGTTCTTAACCCCTTAAGGACAGAGCTTCAGAAGCTTGTCTTTCACTTAATGACAACAGCATTTTTTGCATTTTTTGCTGTTTATGTTCAACTGCAATTTGCATTTTACTAATTTATTGCACCGACACATATTATATACCGTTTTTTAAAGGACAGAAAGGGCTTTAATTTGATGTAACATATATATATATATATATATATATATATATATATATATATATATATATATATATATATATAAATGTTTATTTATTATAAAAACAAAATAATATAAAAACAAAACAGTTTTTGCAATAATAATGTGTGCACAATTAGTGCAGGTTAAGGAAAGTAATTAAAAATAAATTAATTTAGTTGTTATGATTTACAGAATATATAATGTGTCTTGGATTTTAAGGTTTCTTTTTGGTAGTTACAGGTCACAAAGCACAAGGAGTAGAAAAAACTTTTGATGTGGAGCGATTTTAGAATTTGGTATGTTTGTCTTGTAAGCTTAATAGCCATAAAAGAAAACAAAATTTCCACACAAAAGTATATATTTATATAAAGTAGACATCGCAGGCTATTTACCTAAGGTTGTTTTGACACTTTCTACGTAGCCATTTCACCGCCAACCTCTGCTAAATATTGGAGTAAAATTTGGCACACAAACTTATAACAAAGAAATTCTCATGTGTATTTTGTAAAGTTGGTGTGTGCTATTCCTGTACAAAGATTTATGTTGTGTTCAGTTACATCTGCTGAGTAAAATGACACCCCCATTGTATGTCTTCGGCACTATTTTGTGAAGTTACAGTGCCAAATAGGATACATGTCCTTTTCAGTATTCACAATAGAATTTTGACGGATTTAATGAGTCTATGCTTCCATTTGGGGTATTATAGTAGTTTGACTGTTCAAAAAAACCCCACAAAGGCCTACCATTTGTAAAAGTAGACACTCCAGGGTATCTCATAAGGTGCATATTGTGCCTTAACATAGCCCCATTTCTTCACCAATATATGCCAAAGTATGTGGTAAAAAATAATTTTGTGCATTTATTACATACGGATTGCATTTTTGCTGGGCATTTTGTATATTTCGTATGTGCCACTAAGTTCAAACCCCCCATATTATGCTCAGCTAAGTCTTCTGAGTAAAAAGACACCCCCAATGAATGTCTTTGGCACTATTTCGTGAAGCTACAGTGCCATATAGGAGACCAAGCCATATCAATTTTTACCGAACTTTGAATTTTGACGCTTGGCCTATGTGCAATTTCCAAGCATCTTCGCAGGTTTTAAATTCAAACTACCCCACAAAGGCCTACCATTTCTTAAAGTAGACACCACAGGGTATTTCAAAAGGTATATTTTGAACCTTAGTGTGGGATCATTTTTCCGCTAGCTTGTACCAGGTGTAGTGGTAATAAGCATTTTTTTCTGCCTTTTTGACACACAGAGTGAGTTTTCACAGTATATTTTGCAAACCTTATGTGTGCTACCACTGTATAATACTTCATATGTTGCTCAGCTATGTCGGCTGAGTACAGCAATACCCCCGTATGCACCTTTGCCAGGTATATGTGGACATCGGAGGGGCACATTTGGGACACAGCCATTCCAGTTTTTTTCAAACTTTAAATTTTTACGCTGTGCCCATGTCCCATTTTAGAGTATTTTACCAGGCTATATAATCCAAATACCCCATAAAGCCATACCATTTCTTAAAGAAGACATCCCAGGGTATTTCAAAAGGCATATTTTGAACCTTAACATTTGAGACGCAGCCATTCAGTTTTTTTCTAACTTTGACGTTTTACGCTGTGTCCATGTTCCAATTTGGAGTAGTTTAGATGGTTGGTTATTGAAACTTCCCCACAAACACATACTTTTTATTAAAGAATACACCCTGGGGTAATTCAAAAGGCATAATTTGAACCTTAGCGTGAGATCATTTTTTCTCTTGTTTGTTCCAGGTGTAGTGGTAATGAGCTTTTTTAAATGTATTTTTTTACTTTTTAAAACTTTTTTACTTTTTAAAACTAGTTTTTAAACTTTTGTTTTGCTTATTAATTTTTTTAAACTTTCTTAAAACTTTTTTTACAGATTTAACATTTTTCTTAGCTTTTTTTTTACCGTTAACCCCTAACTAGCAGTAAGCAGCACTAACAGTAAATTCCCCATTTTCCCATAACTCCCACCCACCCCAGCTAGCAAAATATATAATTATAAAATATTTAAACTAGTTAATTAAATAAATTGAACACCTGAGGGTTAAAAAATAAATAAAAGTTAATCGTCAGGGGTTAAAAAAATTAGATCACAGTATAATACTGTGATCTGTATTTTCATCACTGTAGGCAGTGATCGACTGGCAGGGAAGGGGTTAATTTTTATTTGGACTGGCTAAAGGGGGGTGTTTTTTTAATTTTTACTTAAACGTTATTAAAACTTTTTTTAACTTAATTGTGAACTTTTTATAGCTTATTTTAAAAAAAAATTAATGTTAGCCTAACACCAAATCCCCAATTCCCCACTAACTTCCATCCACCCCAGCTAGCTAAATTTATAATTTTAAAATACTTAAATTAATTAATAAAATAAATGTAACCCCTGAGGGTTAAAAAAAAAAAGAATTAACCCTCAGGGGTTAAAAAAAAATCAGATCATAGTAAAATGTAATCCCTGCCAATTGATCTCTGTAGTCAGTGATCAATTGGCAGGGAAGGGGTTAATTTTTTTATTAAAATGGGTAAAGGGGGGTGGGATTTTAAATTAACTTTATTTATTTGTTCTAACAGGGACAAGATCAGTGATGATCCATCTCCCTGCACTTCACACAGAAGCAGGAAGTGCAGGGAGGCGGAAGGTGAGTATGCTGAGCACCTGAGCTCGCTCTGACAGCCTGTCAGAGCGAGCACCGGTCCTGGACATATCCCACTTGCAATACCTTGGGTTGTCTACTTTTGCAAATGGTATGCCACCATGGGGGTAATTCTCAATCCTGGGCTACAACACGGTCTCAAATGTAAGATTATTAATCTGGCAAATTTCAATGTGAAAAAAATGAAAAATGGAATGAGCTATATTTGACCCTGTAACTTTCCACCGTAAAACCTGTTAATTCCAGGTACTGTTGTACTCATGAGACTTTGCTGAATACAAATATGTGCATTTTATTGCAGTAAAAGCTAACAGTATTATGACATTTACAGCTAAAATGTCAGACGGAACAAATTTTATGGAAAATCGTAATTTCTCCCAAGTTTTATTTTTATTTTATTCATGATAAATTATGTTTCATATGTGAATAGTTCATGAGAAATTAAAGCCCTGTCTCTCCTGATCAAAATTATATATAATGAGTGTGGGTGCACTTAATATGAAAGAGGTGAATTACAGTTGGACAGACATATAATGCAAATTCCAGTTTTTGTTTACATTTTGTTTTGATTAGAACGTGTACTTTTGACCTCATCCTGAAGGGGTTAATTTGTTATTTTTGCAAAGCTTTATATTTGTTATGTTATACACTATCACCTCTGAATGTCTCCTCTGAGGAGGTATTGCAGTGCCTAGATCTACATGCTCCTGGAATGTTCTGATGCTAAGGGTTTTTAGCCCTTTCTGTTTAGTAGGTATCTAGCTCCACATCTGCTTGACCTTCTCCCTCTCCCCTCCTCCTGCAACCCCGTTGGTTAGGGTTGCCATAAGACAGCCTGACCAACCTTCTCTTGTTCTTGCCATACCTGGCACTAACTATTCACTGTAGTTTAGTATTTTAATATTTATTTTACACACAAGCTGCCTCCCCCCCCCCCCCCCCAACTCAATCATTCCTGATGAAAAATGTTAAACGCGACGGCACCACGACAAACAGACAGCGACTCAGACACACAAACCGGAACCACAAAGACGCAACACTAGAGGCAGACACACAGAGCTCCAGAATAAAGCAACACAACATAGACACAACCATGGACACACGCAATAGAGGAGACACAGACTTACCGCAGAAGGTTTCACCATTACTAGCAGAGGGGAAGGACACGAAACATACAAAACAAATACAACCCCAATATACACGAGCTGGTAGCCACAACACACACTAGAACTCAGGGCTGCAGGCAAAAGGCCAGAGCGCGCAAACACTAACCCATTTTCGCAAGATGGGCCTTCACTGCAGTTTATGGCAACAGGGATAAATACGCAAACACAGGCATCTCAGAAGAAAACAGTGTATTGTTAAAATATGTCATCCACAGTGCACTCCCCAAATAAGGAAGTCGTCAGTTAAATATAAAGTTTGGAATGTAAACTGTACCATGCAACACTTTGTTCAAACATGTAATATAAAAGTCACGTAAATAAATTGTTCTATGGTACCCTTAAGAGCTAAAGTTCACGGACAAGGGCCGTGACACAACACACGCAAGGCTACATGACATTAGTGCTACACTGCTTAAAACCGTTGACTCAAGGTCTGGATCCCATACCCAGAGCACCTAAGAGCACACCCCCGCAGGGGAGAGCCTATAACACATCAGTCCATGTCGCATACCTAGCGGCAAAATGTGAAAGCACCCATATAAGCACCCATTAACGAGCCACACTAGTACCATTCAATGAGTTGATAGCTGAATACACGTTACTAACGGCCACTCCTAATTGCCACTACATACCTGACAACAACTCCCTAACAACGCAGTACCAAGCAGGTTCAACGCCTTTTGTATGTCTAGCTTTGCAAGGCCTATGAATACCTAATATTTGTCATTGCGTGTTTATTTTGACTTCTAAGCCTCTGCGCAGGCAACTGTGTTACTCTGAGCTAACTGGAATATGTCTGCCTCACGTTATTTACACTTTCAATATGCACGCCTCTGCGTAGGCAACTATATGCATTAATAAAACCCTGTTCAACACCCGTGTTTATATTGATGACAATAAACATATTTAAAACAAAGCGTCTATAGTATCCCGCTGTCCCCAGGAAGGCCAGGTCCTGGGTCTTAGTCTAGGGTGTGGGCCAGTTAGCGACAGCTTCTTTCTTGGCAGGCTCTGGTCACTGCCGCCCACACCCGACCCAGTGTCCCAAATACTGGACCTCCACCATGCCTATGTTACATTTGTCTGGTTTCAAAGTCAGGCCAGTCGCCCGAATTTGATCCAGCACTATCCCCACGTGCCTCAGATGTTCCTCCCAGGACTCGCTATAGATCGCAGTGTCATCCAGGTACGCACAGGCGAAATCCTGGAAGCCATTGAGGAGTCTATCAACCAAGAGTTGGAACGTGGCTGGGGCGTTTTTCATCCCGAATGGCATGACCTTAAATTGGTACAGGCCAAACAGGTTGACAAAGGCCGATTTGGGGATAACCTCCTCGGGCAGGGAAATCTTCCAGAACCTCTAGGTCAATTTAACCACCGATAGTCCCAGGTAGTCCTATCCTTTTTTGGCACCTTCTGTATCTCTTCCCTCATACGGCTTTGACTGCGTCAGGTATCCGATATGGAGGTTGTCTAATCGGAGCCTGTCCTGGGGTTTCCACCCTCTGGGTGGCTAACGTGGTAAACCCTGGTTCTTGGGAGAACGTTTGGCTCTTACTAGCTATTAGGCAGGTTATCCGCTCCCCTAACTTTATCTGACTGAGGGGATTGGTTTGGGGCTGTCTGCTCAAGAGGTCGGGTAAGGGTAGGCTGTCTGGATCGTCAATGGCTGGGGCGCAGACGGCAGCTATGTCCTCGGGTCTTTCCTGATACTCTTTGAGCATATAAACGTGGAATGCTTTGCAAACCCTCTCATCCTTGTTGCTGGCAATTACATAGGTGGTGTCGCAGAGTTGGTCCACCACCTTGTAAGGGCCCTGCCTGGCTGCTTGCAACTTATTGTGCTTCTTGGGCTTTAGTACTAGGACCTTCTGTCCTACTTGGAATGTGCGCTGGCGAGCACCCCGGTCATACCATACTTTCTGCCGTCCCTGGGCCGCTTGGAGGTTTTCCTTAACCATCCGGGTAACTGTTCCATGCGGTCCCGGAGCTGCACTACATATGATACGACGGGTGATCCCCTCCCAGTACTCCCTAATGAGGTCCAGGGGGCTTCGCACCCTTCGTCCATATAGAAGCTCAAAGGGGGAAAACCCAGTGGATTCTTGCGGCACCTCTCTGTATGCAAACAGGTGGTGAGGCAGGAACCGTTCCCAGTCCCAGTATTCGTCTGTGAACGTTTTCAACATTTGTTTGAGGGTGCCATTGAAAACGTTCACAGAGGCCGTTTGTCTGGGGGTGGTACAGGGAACTGAGTAGGGATTTGATCTGGCAGACTTTCCACAATTGGTGGGTCAGTTCAGCAGTGAACTGGGTCCCTTGGTCAGAGAGAATTTCTTTAGGGAAGCCCGCCCTGGTGAATATCCCAACTAAGGCATTGGCAACGGTGTCTGCCTGAAAATTGGGTAGAGCAACGGCTTCGGGATAGCGAGTGGCATAGTCCACCACGGTAAGTATGAATCGTTTACTAGATGGACTAGGCCGTTTGAGGGGCCCTAGTAGATCTACTGTTACCCGGCTGAAAGGTTTCTCTATGATGGGCATGGGTCGCAGCTTTGCCTTGGGATGATCTCCCCGCTTCCCAACCCTCTGGCAAACATTGCAGGTCCGGCAATAATGTTGCACATCTGTGGAGACCCCCGGCCAAAAGAAGTGCTGAGTTACTCGGGCAGATGTGTGAGTCATCCCCAAATGCCCTACTAATGGGATGTCATGCCTAATTCGGAGAAGCTCCCGTCGGTATTTCCTTTGAACTACCAACTGGCACTTCTGCAAAGGGGGGACTCCGGGGCGACTGGTGTCAGACACCCTGTATAGCTTGTCCTGTTCCCATACATAGCTTTCCCCGTCTGGGCCTGGCTGACCTGTTTCTGCCCAAAGGCGATACTTATGGAGGGAGGGGTCAGCCCTAGTCTCTCTACCAAATTCTTCAGGGGTATCCCAGGCTAGAGTCGTCGTGGCTAGGGTTTTTGTCAAGGGGTCAGTAGGTCTTACCTGGGTTTCCCCAACTGGTGGGTTGTTCTCAGCGGTGCGTGCTTGGGCACGGGTGGTGACGGGATGAGCAGCTGCATAGGTAGGAGCATAGGCTGAGGTGAGGGGCCCAAGTTCCTTGCTAGGCAATACTTCAGCTGGAAGGTTGTCCGTGATTCCCACTTGTACAGTACTCGATCCGGCTCCCCAGTTGAGATGAACCCGGGCAGTGGGAAGATGATCAATGGCTCCTCCGGTAACTTGGACAGTGACGGTCTTTCCAGTGCGATCATTGTTGCGGACCAAGTGTCGCTGGATGAGAGTCAATGTGGCCCCGGTGTTTTGCAGGCCCTGAGCTGGTTGACCGTTGACGAGTACCTTTTGGCGGTGTTGTTGTCGGTTGTCCTGAGCGGCTGCTTGAATGGGATCTGCCTCATATAATACCCCCAGATATTCCTCCGCTTCAGGTTCAGCTTCCTAACAGTGGGCAACTGATGTAGGTTGTGGCCGGTTGGAGGGTCGTCCCCAGGTGGACCTGGATGGTTCCAGGGGGCAGTTGTTCCTGATGTGCCCCAGCTGTTGGCATCCATGGCACCGTACCTTGACCTGATTCTGTTGGGACCTGGGGGGTCCAGAATAACAAGCAGGGGCTGGGGGAAACAGAGCACAGATTTCTGCTCTAGGAGGTGGTTTAGTAGCGACCGGCTCGGGGTGAGGACGTACAGCAGTTAATTCTGGGCGCTGGGACTCCGTATATTTATCCGCCAGGTGTGCTGCGTCCTGTAGGGTGAGCATTTCATCGATCCTGAACCCATTGCTTCAGGCCCGGTTGTAATGCTCCTATAAAATGTTCCAGCAAAAATAGTTGTAGAACTTCTTCGCCTGTCGTGGCTTGACATCCTTGTATCCAATGGGATGCGGTTCAATGCAGTGTACAGGAATCCCCTCCTTTCCATTTGGATTCTCTAAACCGTCGCCAGTATGCTTCAGGGGGTTACTGCATACCGGAACAGCAAAGCTTCCTTTACTGTTGAGTTGGGGTTGCATGAAAAGCTTCATTTGCCGGACAAAATTGTAACCCATTCTTCGTGGGGGTACTTGATGCAACACACATTGCCATTCAAAATCTGTCTCCTGGTATGCTTTAAACACTGCAAAACCTTTTTCTGCTCGCTGGTGTTCACAATTGGTAGTACCATTGGGCTTTTAGGTATTTGTGTGGCTAGTACCTGTAGGTGATAGGCTCTTTTCTCCCTCGCCTCCTCCATTGCTGCGTTGAGAAGTTGCGTTACCAGTTCCATAGGTGGGTTAAGTCCATAGAGGGCCAGCCTTCCTTGCACCACTCTCTGGATCTTGTCCTCTTCTCCGTTTGGGGGAGTGGAGTTAGCCATTGTGTTGCTCTGGTCCAATTCAACCAGTTCAGCTATCAGTTCCCGTCGTGGTCTGTTACTAGCTGAACGCCCACGGCTCTCCAGTAAATCCTTCAACGTTAGCCATTTCAGTTTCTCATACTGATTCTCCATGGACCATCCCGCCGCTGCCAACCAATTGTAGCGGTTACCCCGGAGATTAGAGAGGTGACCACTGCTGGAGGGTGTCCTTCTCCTGATGAGTGAGGGGTATTCTCAGTTCAGTAGTGAGGAAGCTCTTAAAAGAGCTAGTGTGATTAGCTGTTTAGCTGGTTAACCCCAATAAGAGACAAGACTCTAGATTGAGGGTGAAGAAGAACTAACTGCACTGAGCGTTTATTACTGCTTTTATACAAGTTTCCCAGTAAGGTTACCACCCATGTGGACCTTGTGGGGCACTGAAATTGTAAACTTTGCAACCAATCAAGTACAGGCACATAGATAATCACACCCACTTATTACAGTAAAAATCCTTCCCTCTGCTTGGGAGATAATTGAGTTAATTACTGTATCAACTCAATTATCTCCAAGCTTAAAAACATACTTTTATACAATTTTGTGATTATACATTCAATTCTAGTACTTTCATTGAGCATAACTTGGGGACAAACTCGCTTGAATTGATTCGGTGGTTCAGGAGATAGGGAAAAGTCTCTTTGACTGACCGCACGCAGGTTTTCCGGCCCAAAACAGTTCCACAAATTCAGGCTGTGCGGTCGGTCTATCTTCTCGTTCACATGTAATTCAAATTGCATGAACGGATCAATTCATGCTTACTGTCATTGGATGCAGCTCGTTCAAGAGTTTATTCCCTAGAAATAGCGCTCTGTTCGCGTGAGTTTAGCCGAACGCATGGAAGGTAGAAGTTTCAGCGGTGTTCGTGGGAAAAGTAGCCGAAAATAGTTCCACGAGTTCGACGACCAAACACCGTTGAGTGCATTCCACTAAACAAAATGGCTGCCGCCACGTGTTCGCATAGACGAACACCGACCACCCTGTACAACAATTAGAACGCTGTGGTTTTAGCTGGTTTAGAGGTGTAACACGAGTCAGGGAGGTTAATGAGGGTCAGACTTCTTTTCTGGGTGGTCGTTCGTTTGGTAGAAAATTCGTAATTCGAACGGCTTTTATTATAACAGCAGGCTAGGTATTTTTAAACTAATGATTGTACGAACGGCCTTACACAGTGTTTAAAGATCCATACATGGGGTTCTGTTACACTTACCTATTACCATAATGGTAAAATAGCACGTCACCAAGGTATGAACAAGACGTACTCTTTGATAGCTGCTGAATATTGGTGGTCTTCCTTACATAAGGATATCAAAGAATATGTTTTGGCATGTGACGTGTGTGCCAAAACTAAATTACCACGTACACTCCCTTGCGGATTGTTGTCTCCACACAGTATCATTCCACACAATAAAGGAATAGAAGCGGTTAAACATTTTTTAACTATATCCAAGGAAGAACCGACAGCAGGAATTTTACTTATTTTATCCAACAAGTTCTTTTGATTTGCGGATAGTTTTTATTTGCAAATCTGCGGTAATATTATGGGCACCAAGTTTGCCCCCATTTACGCCAATCTTTTCATGGTCTTCTGGGAAAAAACATACGTTATGCAAGGCCATAACTGGGTGGCAAACTTGGTGTCATATTGCCGTTTCATAGATTATATCTTTTTTATATGGACAGGAACCGGAGAAGAACTTAATGATTTTATGAAATATCTTAATTTTAATGAATGGGGAATAAAACTTATTAGTGCCAGTAGTTCAGTCGGCAAAAATTTTTTAGATCTACATATTAGCATCCAAGACTCAATTATAACAACTAAAAATTATTTTAAACCTGTAAATGCTAACCACGGACCATGGCTAAACAATCCCCATAATGGGCAATTTCTCAGAACCAGACGAAATTGTAAGAAAAATTCAGATTATATAGAGCTAGCGAATTACTTGAAAAATGGGTCATGAAGAAAAAGCACTAGAAAGGGATCTGAAGGAAGTGGAAAAACAACCGCAAAAAGATCTCATTATACAGTATAGACAATCTAATAAATTACTCATAACAAATGAAGAACCTTTTATTTGTAACAATTACGGACAAAACAAACAAATACAAAAAAAATTATTAAAAAACATTGGCACTTACTCAGAGATGACCCCATTTTAAACAAAATCTTACCGCCAGTACCGAAAATGATCTATATAGGAGCAAAGAATTTGAAAAACATTATAGTAAAAAGCCATTTGAGTCCAAAAAAAACAAACCACTTTCTACACAACCTCACAGGATTCTATGGATGTGGTCTATGCTTACCATGCAGAGAAACTAAAATTAAAGAAGACATTTAGTGGATATAGGGAACATTACCAAAAAAACATACATTTTAACAGACCATCTGACGTGTCACTCCAAAGGAGTGATATATATATATTAAAATGTTAATGCAATTTACTGTATGTAGGTAGAACTATTAGACCACTTACGGTCTTAATTGCTGAACATGTCCGGAATATAAAACATGGGATAGAAACAGGGACAGACTCACCACTCTGGCACATCGGTCATGGACTGAGGGCCCGAGACAGCCAGGGGCCTGGCCGCACAGCCATGCTCCAGCTGAAGAGATCAGAGAACTCTACAACTGGAACGGCAAAATAAAATAAAAAAGATCTCTTCCATTGATAGGTTGTGTGGCCCCTGACGGAACGCAGGGCCCCAGTATCCTACCACTCTGCACATCACCCCACCCTCATCCTCAAATGAGACCTGGCAGCATTACCTGCTTTCTCTCTCTGCCAGGTCTCCTCCTTCCTGTCCTGTGCAGCACTTTGTGTAATGGGGAGAGGTGGGCTAGACATCACTTCCTGTACTCTCCTCACACACAGCACCCTCTCACAGCCAGCAGGGTGAAGGAGCAGCAGCCATGTGGCAAACCTTAAGAGAACGTGGGAACAAGCGCATCACATCCTGTCACACACTTCTAATTTATACAAAAATCATGCTGATAAGCGTCGGCATGCTGCTCCTGTATATCAACTGGGTGATAAGGTCTGGCTAAGCACCAGAAATATTTGCCTAAAAGGCCATCAATAAAGCTCGTACCCAGGTATATTGGTCCTTACAAGGTTATCCAACGTATCAATTCTGTGGCTTATAAGCTGGCGCTTCCTCCTTCTCTGCGTATACCTAATTCTTTTCATGTATCTTTATTGAAATCTCTAACTTGCAATCATTACACTAGACCCCTTGATGTTCCTCCTCCTGTACAGGTTGAAGGTCATGAAGAATACGAAGTGAAAGCCAATCTCGATTCACGTAGTTCTAGGGGTCACCTTCAGTATCTGGTTGACTGGAAGAGCTATGTTCCCGAAAACTTTCTTGGGTTAGTTTTTATGACATTCATGCTCCTCGTCTTCTCAAGTCGTTCCATGCCCGCTTGCCTTCTCGCTTTGGTTCTTACCGCCAAAGAGGGGGTTTTGTCACAGTTCCTTGTGTGACACTGGCTGGAGAGCTCCATGAAGGGGAGAGGGATCCTTCCCATGGTCCCTCTCATCTCACTAGCGGTTGCGACGCCGGCTGATGTAGCCCCTCCTCTTTTTATGTTGCGGTTTGTACGCAATGACGTCATGGCCCGCCAAAATGTTGGAATTCAAACGTTTTGGAGGCGTGACTATAAATTAAAGGTAAAGGATATAAAAAGGGCACTTAGGGAGAGGATCCTTGCCCTGTTGTGGTTTTTGTTTACAGTTCCCAAGAGTGCGTCATATTCTGTGTCTTTTCTGGTATTTTGATCTCTATCGGTTTGTTTGTTTCCCTGATTTCTGGCTTCCCAGACTCTGCTTGTCCCTGACCATTCGTTATCTAATATCATATAACCCGGCCATTCTAAGGACCGGTAAACATTGCCTAAACTATTATCATATATACACTGCGTGTTGGGTCACTGGGTATCATGACATTCAGCCAGCATTGGGCCATGCTATCACTAACATTCATCATGTATTCGGCCCACATTCAGCCTTTCACTAGCTATGGTGGCATACACAGTTTAGTCCTTATTCAGACATAGCATCATATACCTCAAGTCGGTTCATGTATTCTGCTTATTGTATTCGGCCCTCATTCAGCCATATTGTATTTTATCATATGCAATTCAGTTAATCACCCTCATTTTAATGTATAATAAATGCTATGCCATATTCAGTTTTTCATATTTGCAACTTATTATTGTCGGCCATACAGCCTTATACTTGACAGCTTTGAGCAGATCAGCATTTGTTACTTATGTTCATCAGATCTCTTCCAGCCTCAATACCTATATGGTCTATGTCTGCCCTCTGGGTATTCAGGCATATCATTGGGCCTACAATGTTATGCTAGGTGTTGCAACTGACGGCCTAAATTTATGTCAGGCCCAAACGTGAGTATATACTTCCTGTTAATACAGAGCTTGACAAATTTGCTTGGAATCTAGGAGCTGGCTAATAAAGTTAGATGGCAGGTTTTCCAACATCAAAAATACAATTCTTAAAGGGTCATAGCTTAATGTAGTGGTTCTTAAGTCTATAGCTTGTTTATGTAAACACTGTCTTTTCAGACAAAATAAAATGTTTACATTGCTGTTTAGTAACACCTCTAGTGGCTGTCACTCAGACGGCCTCTAGAGGCGTGGAGGCACTAAATGATCCCCATAGGAATGCATTGATTCAATGCATCTCTATGAGGATATGTTAATTGGTGTATTTTGCCGCGCATGCACAATACTTTCTCAATGCTTTCCTATAAAGGGGGAAGCATTGGATTGACTGGGCATCAAGATTTATTAACTCAGCCATGGAGGTGGAGCCAGCAGTGGCGAGACCAGCATGGCATGGAAAAAAGGTGAGTAAAAACACCTTTGAAAAGGGGCAGATCACCTAAACACACACACACTGACTGACAGAGACACACACACACACATTATTATTATTATTATTATGGTATTTATATAGTGCCATCAAATTCCGCAGCGCTTTACAATGGGTGGACGAACAGACATGTAGTTGTAACCAGACAAGTTGGACACACAGGTACAGACGGATTGAGGGCCCTGCTCAATGAGCTTACATGCTAGAGGGAGTGGGGTAAAATGACACAAAAAGGTAAGAATAGTATTAGACTAGTGACAGTTGCAGAAGATGAATCAGTCAGGAGCTATTAACAGTATAATTGATACGCTTTTATGAAGAAGTGGGTTTTTTAAGATTTTTTGAAGGAGTGGAAACTGGGTGAGCATCTAACGGATGAGGGAAGCGAGTTCCACAGGAACGGTGCAGACCTCGAGAAATCTTGAAGGTGAGCATCAGAGGCGGGAGTACGGACAGAAGATAGATGTAAGTCTTCAGCAGATCGTAGGGGGCTAGATGGGACATACATGTGTATAAGGGAGGATAGATAGGTGGGAGCAGTATTATGTAGAGATTTGAAAGCAGGAACCAGAATTGTAAATTGAGCTCAGAAGGGTGAGGCATGGGAGGTGCGGGCGGACAGGAAGATGAGCCTCACTGCCGCATTCATTATGGACTGTAACGGTGCAAGTTTGGAGCACGTAAGACCACTGAGAAGCGGATTACAGTAGTCAAGGCGAGAAAGGACCGTGGAATGGACCAACACCTTAGTCGCATCTGGCGTTAAATAGGGGCGGATGTGCACAATGTTTTTGAGATGGAAATGACAGGATTTGGCGATAGATTGAACATGAGGCTTAAAGGAGAGGTCGGAGTCAAAGAGAACACCTAGGCAGCGAGACTTGGAGGGAGACAGACACAGGAGTAACAACACTTGAGGGAGGAAAGACCAGATTTTCAGTTTTGGTCAAGTTTAGTTTAAGGAAGTGGGCAGCCACCCAGCTGGAAACAGCAGAGAGGCAGTCAGAGACACTAGTCAAGAGGGACGGGGAGAGATCAGGAGAGGACAGGTAGCTTTGCATGTCATCTGCGTAGAAATTATATTGGAAGCCAAAGGAGCTAATGAGTTTACCAAGGGTGTCAGTAATGATGGAGAACAGTAGGGGACCAAGGACTGAACCTTGGGGGGCACCAACAGAGAGGAGTTGGGGAGAAGAAGCAAAGCCAGAGAAAGAAACACTGAAAGAGCGCTGGGAGAGGTAGCAGGAGCACCAGGAGAGAGCAATATCTTGTAGACTGATATTGCGGAGGATGAGAAGAAGCTGTTGATTATCAACAGTGTCAAAAGCTGCAGACAGGTCAAGCAGAATTAGGATAGAGTAGTGACCACGAGATTTTGCAGCGAGTAGATCATAGGATACTTTGGTCAGTGCCGTTTCCACAGAGTGCTTAGCGCGGAAACCAGACTGAAGCGGGTCTAGCAGAGAGTTGGACTCGAGGAAGTCTGTCAATTTTGCATACACAATTCTTTCAAGGATCTTGGATGCAAAAGGCAGTAGCGAGATAGGACGATAGTTGGATAGGGAGTTAGGGTCAAGATTGGGCTTCATTAGAATTGGGGTTACAGTTGCATGTTTGAAGGGCGATGGAAATATACCAGAGGAGAAAGAGAGATTGAGAATTTTAATGAGAGGTGGAGAAAGAGAAGAAGACAGAGTACGGATTAGATGCGAGGGAATTGGATCTAGGGAGCAGGTGGTGGGGCGGGAGGACTGGAGCAGAGCAGAAACCTCTTCCAATGTAGCGGGTGCGAATGAACATAGAAAGCAGAGGGAGTGAAGTTAGGGGAAGTATTGTAAGGGGAAGAAGAAATATGAGAGGTCTCTTCTCTGATTGTAGAGATCTTGTCAGTGAAGTGAGTTGCAAAGTCTGAGGCGGTCAAGTTAGTAGGTGGAGGAGGAACAGCAGGGCGAAGAAGAGAGTTAAATGTGTGAAATTGTCGTTTGGGTTCGTGGAAGAGTGTGGTTATGAGGGTATTGAAGTAATTAACTTTTGCAGAGGAAAGAGCCAAGCTGTATGAGCTCAGCAAAAAATTTATAGTGGAGAAAGTCAGAACATTCATTGACAGACACACTGACCGACTTACACACTCACTGCTGATAGTCTCCCTTCTTAGCCCTCGCGCGCTGTTTATTGAGCCATGGACCGGAATGATGTCATATTCCGACACCCGGCAGAGCTGGAAGAATACAGCTTCCTCGCCATCTCCGCACTCAGGCATCTTCCTCCACAGTCAGTAAGCCAACCGCCTCCGCAGTCAGTTAGCCGCCCACCTCCATCCCTCAGCTATTCATGCTCCATGAACCGCATGCCCAACCACCCTCGCTCTCCATGAGCCACCTGTCCAGGCACCAGGACAAATTTCCTAGTCGCCATGGCGACCAGTCACCTGGAATTTGTTGAGCCCTGTGATAATAATCTGTCTATTTAACTGAGTGAAAGAGAAAAATTGTAAGGTGGATAATAGGCTGTACGAGATGTATGGATTATGGCATGAATAAATGTAGGTTAATCATACCAAGGTTGTAGGAGTTTTAAAATGGACTGTGAATTGCGTATGGATAGTAGTGAGGCTTTGGTGTTCAATATGGTCCATCTGTTTGTTTCTTTAAATTTATTTATTTACACTTAGTGGTTTACTGAAACATAGTATAATATGGCAATATATAACCCTCAAGTGGCAGGTTGCCAAATCTAGGTTGTAATAGTGATGCCCTAATGAGGACTGTGTGTCAAGGTAGAGGAGTAAAAGGCTGAGAGAGCTCACTGTGATTCATGAGTAGCAGGGTAGCCATGTTAATGCAATATGAGAATTAGTGGATGTATGAAATGATAGGACATGGGTTGATTAATAGAAAACATTGTCATCACACGTACTACCACTACACCTTCCCCTCGCACTCCGGCTGTGACCCAGCATACCACTAGCCCCAGTTCCTTGGGCACCAGGACCTTTCCTAAATTGCTGCAGATGTAAATTCTCATGATTGCTAATGCCAAGACCCCCAACTACCCTCCTTTAATCATAACTTCGGCCCTCTATGTAGTCAACCCCATCATGACCACATACTGGTGGTCTCTATGGATAGTGTTATCAGGCAAATGCCACTCAAACCATGAATGTGTATTAGCTTGGTCCTCCCCTCTAACCGTTACATAGTTATTGAGGTATTGACTACTCTGGCAGCAACAGCGATTTTACCTTGTCTGCATATACATACCAAGCTGTCGCAACATAACAGCCGATGTTTGCTTTCGTTCAATTTTGTGCATATTCCCACGCACACCCCATAGCCACCAATTGTCCTCTCAAAACCTATACAAAACCTGATTATCTCCCATCATCCCCACTGTAACACATGAGGACCAGGTGGAATTTGTGGGGGGCAGGCATTGATCAGATGGGACGAGAAAGGTAGTGAATTTGATGCACAGGCTGAGGTTTGGATTCCAATATTGTTACTATCAATAACTGGTGAGACCTCACTTGACCCGGTTTTGAGAAAATTATACGGTCGTATCTCCAGAAGGATATTGATACTTTAGAGCGCCGAAGAGAATGGAGGTCCAACACAGACGCTCTACGCTGGGCCAGGATCCGTTACGCCTGGGGGTATCCCTTCCGACTGATGGCCTTCCAGGAGGGGAGAGTACATGTGCTACTGGTCAGGGGAGACCCACAGAAATTCTTCAGGGACCTGGGCATCGCTCATCTGCTGAACCTAGCAGCAGTGGCCGGACCGACTGAGGAGCTGCCTCTTCTTCCAACGGAGTGGCAGGTGAACTGACCTCGAGACTGATGAGATCTCCAGGATGGTATCGTATAACAGAGTGGGGAAGGCGCTCTAATAGAGGACGGCTCCAGCTCTGGGGGTCCCGGGACTGATGTGGTGTGGAGGGTAAGGGGACACTGCCAGTGTGGGGGCAACGGATAGGTGGAACAAGACTGAGGGACAACAGGCTTGGAGAGGGACTGGGGACCGGAGCATATGGAAGTGTCATTTAGGGAGTGGGGCACTGGGTGGTATGTGGGAAGAGATGAGCCGGCAAGAGGCCCCCTATGAAGCCAACTTACAAGATCTAAAGGCCAGTATGTGGGCAGGCATGACAAGTGGTACCGGGAATGTGCCATTTACACGATGCACTGAAGCCGCGGGTGATCCCAACGACAAGACTCACAAAGGGACATCTTTAGGGTAGGAAAACAGGGGAGAAAGGCAGCCCTCGGAAACAGCCAACGAGCAGAGGGGGGGAGGAAGCACACACTATTTACAAACCCATAAAAACCAACCCAAAAAATCACACAGAAATTCTTCAGGGACCTGGGCATCGCTCCTCCAGGGGGTGGGTCACACACCCAGCCAACTGCAGGAAATAGCCTTACCGGGGGGGGTGGGGGGGAGGAGGTGACAAAACAACGTGACCCACTTGGAGACCTGTATGGCACTGCCTATGGCAACAGAAACCTAAGAGGGATATCCTTAACTATTTGCAATGCTCCAAACGGGTGTCGGGCTGGAATCGCATACTGTTTGTCAACTCTAATATACTGAGATGTTGTATTTGAACTTTGTTTGATGTTTGACTTTATAGAACACATCTGACTAGAGATGGGTCAGGAAACTGACAGCGACTGGATATACGGGAGAAAGAACCTAGCCCACTAAGACATGGACACCTGACCCCCTTATGACACCACACCAATATAGCGAACCCCTGGTTAGACCCCACTAAGAAACAGGGAAGAGGATTGCCCACCACACGGTGCCCAGGACCAACTAGCAATGGAGGAGGAGACAGCTTAAGCTATCGGTGCTGCCCCGCGCTGGGATGCGGTGCCCAGGGGAAAGGGGGCATAGCCGGGGTTACACTGGCTGGGGTCACCCTGAGAGTTGTTGTTTACAGTTTATCGGGTACAGTTTCACCCGGTTTTGAGCAAATTATAAGTTACCTATATCTAGTAAGCAGACAGCACTGCAGCAAGGGTAGATGGTGGCCAGCTGACCCTTGATACCCATGAACAAGACATGCAGGGGAATGTCGGGCCACACGCCCCAAATTTGTATGGCAATCGGTAAGACCAAACGCTATGAGACGAACCAAGGCACAGCTTTTTCCACTCAGACTTCTCTCTACATCTCTCTTTCTTCCCTTTACTTTATTCTTCTTTGAGGCAGGGGCTGGGGAGTGGGCTCGGGGTCCCACTCGGCCATGACAAATGTCAGCAGACACACTAATGACAAATTGTGGTAAATATAACGTCACTGAACGTAAAGGGGCTGAACACTCCCACTAAAAGGCGCTGTGGCAAATCTAGCCACTTGGACAATATAAAGAGACTGTACCTTTAAGGGTTGCCTGTATGGTTGTGGGATATGTGTGTGACTAAGTATAATGTATGCTGGCTGTAATACCTTGTATTTCCTGTATTGGCTATCTGCCGAATGCAGATAGCTATTTGTATTGGATTTTTCTTTCATTTCACGAACGGCACTTTTGCGGGCCGTTCGTGAACCGAAAACACTCCATATAGTAGCCCACACACTTAGAGGCTAATTAGAGGCTCTCCTAGGTGGCCGCTGTTCGACTACCGACCATGCGGCGGTCGGCCATCTTGGATCCTTTGTTCCCTCAGTGGTGTTAGGTCGTCGAGCGCATGGTACTAAAAACGGCTACTCAACGGCGCGAACACCGCTGAGCCTCCAGGCCGTTCGGGAGTTCCGGGCCGTTCGGTATTTCGTTCCCTGGAAGGCAATCGGTCATTTTAATATGTCTTTTAATAAATGTGTTTTTCGTGCGGCGTTTGGTTGTTTTAGCTGGGATCTGAGCGGTAATCTCACGAATGATGCACTCAGACCCCAGCTATCTACCGAACGTCCATTCGTTTAAATAGACCATATATTCATAGAGTTATGTATTTTTATACGAATTGTAAGTTCTGCTGCACGGAGGGATAATCCACTTAACGGTATATTCCAGTGGGAAGATCCCTCTCGTGCAGCAGTGCCTGATGGGAGAAATGCCCTGTACATTAAGTCCCCCATGTAGTCCCCTCTGGGAATGCCCCTGGGAGGGGACTCAGGAAACCCCTTGCATGGGGACTTGTATAAATTGTGGAGCTGAAATAAAAGACCTCAGTTGACTCTCAGAACTGTGTTTCGTCCGGTTACTGGGAGATTTGGGATATTGCCTTGTTGTTTACAGCGCTTGACTGTGGATTACTTCCTGAACCAGCGGAATTCGTGGATTTAATATTGGCGTTCCGCTACAGGCGCCTAATGTTCCGTGAATTGAAGAGGCAGGACTCTGACATAGTCTTTATCCAGGAAACACACTTACCTAGACAAGCGACCCCGAAACTAAAACACCACTCGTACAGGGTGACCCACAAGGCCAGAGCACACCGCAAAATAAACGGAGTGGCCATACTGGTCAGAAATATATGCCCACTGCAGATATGTTCCACTGACGCGGACAAGGACGGACGATATATTATAGTGACTGGTACACCCCAAATCAGCCGGATCCAGGATTCTGGGATACCCTGCTATCTAAGGTACAGGCTCTGAAGCACGGCATGATTATAGTGGGTGGAGACTTCAATGCGGCGCCGAGTCCCGCGGTCGACAGAAGCGCACACAGAGGAACACCCAGATCACAGGGGAAGAGACGGCAAGATAAACTCCTACATGGATTCATGGGGCGTACGGGACTGATAGACGTGTGGTGGGCCCAGCACCAGAGCGACATTGCTTACACGCTATTCACCCCCACACGGCACCTACTCTCGGATTTACCTCTTTTTGGTTAATTGTAGCTGCCTCTCGCTGGTCACAGGTTCCAAAGTGGGGAACATCACGTGGTCTGACCATGCTGAAGTGGCGATCACGATGGGAAACCTATGCGCAGCAACCCCGTGGACTTGTAGTCTCAACGCATCCTTGTTGCGAGACCCCGAGGTCACAGACCAGATTCAAAATGACATAGCCACTCCAGACCTACAGGTAAGTACAGTGTGGGCGGCACATAAGGCAGTCGTGCGAGGATCTCTGATCAAATTGGCGACTATAAAGAAAAGAGAGAAAACAAAAAATCTGACCAGACTCCTAAACGACCTTAAAAAGCTAGAGCAGCAACATCAAACACGACCAGATAGGGAGACACTGAGAAGGGTGGAAGACGGGAGACCGGCTATAAGAGCCTTGCTACTTGACGATGTGGCCCGAGACATGACCTGGACCAAGAGGACGTTCTATGAAAAAGGGAATAAAATGGACACCCTACTGGCTAGGACACTGAGGCCCCGACATACACGTACACACATCACGTCCATAAGACATAAAGATGGAACAATCAAAACCACCCCCCAGGAAGTAGCCAAAGTATTTACGGACTTCTACGAAACACTATATAACCACTCACCAGGGGAGGACGTGACAGATGCCAGGGAGGCTGTGATGACACAGACTTTGCTGAAAGGATTGGACCTACCAAGGCTGCTGCAGGAGGCTGTAGCTCATCTGGCAACGGCAATCACTGAAGAAGAGAGAGACAAGGCCATCACCCGCCTACATGGTACCAAGGCCCCTGGACCGGACGGATTCACTGGAACCTACTATAAAACATTCTGGGACGTTTTGACACCATAACTAGAAAAACTTTACAACGACTTTAGAGGAGGGGGTACGCCCGGCCCAGACATGTCATTGGCCACCATAGTACTATTGCCTAAACCAGACAGTATGAGGATATAAAGAAACACAACAGTATGAGTCCCCTACCACACCAGGGACCTGAACAGTCTTAAACCATAGAGATGTACTTAGGAGTAAGACTAAATACATGTATCCATCGACAAATCTTGTACCTGCTTAATGATGTATGCTAAAATGATGGCTGTGGCCGGTTGTTATTAGATATGTTAACGCTAACCTGAATTTAAAAAAAAAGCTAAGGCCAGGTAATAATGAAAGTATTTTTTAAAAATTGGGCAGACTAGATGGGCCGAATGGTTCTTATCTGCCGTCAAATTCTATGTTTCTGAGGGGAGGGGGGACCCCAAGCATGTTTGGGGCATTTGACAGGCTCAATTGGTCCTTCCTCCACTCGGTCCTCAAAAAATGTGAATTCCCAGATGCGTTCCTGTCCCTTGTCTCGGCTCTATACTCCAAACCCACAGCACAGAAAACCAACTCTGGTTTTGTCTCCACACGGATCAAGGTATCAATGAAACACGGCAGGGGTGTCCACTCTCCCTACTGCTCTACATACTAGCCCTAGAACCACTCATATCTTATATCAGACAGAGTCCTGACGTGCATGGCATAAAACTCCACAACATGGAACATAAATTAACCCTGTTTCCGCATGACATCTTTCTTACTTTGCAACAACCACACACCTCACTGCAGGCCTTTCATCCCATTCTCCAACAATACAGCTCGTACTATAAGTTAAACTTGACAAAAACACAAGCAAATTCTTCCAAAGCTCCAATATCTCTTTCGAACCCTCACTATGAAACTTCCGGCTCCATACATTAGAGAAGAGCAACAGGCTCTGAATGCCTTCATTTGGGGAGGGGAAAAACCTAGAGTGCCGATCAAGACACTATACATGGCCTTTGATGATGGGGGCATGGGGATGCAAAGCTTCCAGACATATTACCATGCGGCAATACTTAAACTCGATTATCACCTCACATCATGGTACAAATTTAAAACAATGGGCCCAAATAGAAGCTGCACACACAGAGGGCCTAGGACTACCCTCCCTGGCATGGATACCCACCACTCTACGCAAAAACACATGCAAGCTATTACCCACCTCAGAAGTTACTTTAAAAATCTGGGACACCCATAGACACACTATGCACCGGAAAAGTGCAGTATCCTCAGCCCTACCAATCGAATTCTTCATGGCACTCATCCCCAACTTCAACCACAGGCTCTGGCAAGCGGCAGGGATCACCACTGTAAGCCAAATCACTGACACACAAAAGCTCCTGCCATTTGACACTCTGAAACAAAAACACAACCTAACACATCTGGAACATTTCTTATATCTTCAGATAAAATCCTGGCTTGGAAAACACTGCCCACCCAAACCACAGAGTGTATATGGACAAGAGCTAATGGAGGTGGAAAGCATTAGCTTACAAAAGAAATCGCCTAAAAAACTAATCTCCCGGTTCTATACCATAATTAGGGAACAACAAAACATACTACTCCCACGTTCATTTTAGCATGGGAGAAGGAACTCCAACGGCCGTTGGACAAAGCACAGTGGGCGCAGGCATTCCAGGCCCACAGAAAATTTACATTATGCTCATCACATATGAAAACTACGAAGAAGGTACTCTACAGGTGATATATGGTCCCGGCACGCATGCACCATGCAGACAATACAAAATCGGCATTATGCTGGAGGTGTCACACCACCATAGGCACGATGCTACACACAGTTTGGTCCTGTGACGCTCTGTGCTCCTACTAGAGCCACGTTGCTAACCTAATTTACTCCTGCACCAAAGTCACACTGCCGTTGAGACCAGAGACCTTCCTGTTCCTTCTCCTTCCACCGAAATTGCCTAAAAGCGCACAATATCTTATATACCACATTATTGTCGCAGCCTTAATGGCAATTAGCAAATCCTGGCTATCAGACCAGGCACGACTGCTTAAACTACTATACCTGGCGATAGACACTACGAAATTCTACAAACGCTGAGCCAGAGGCAGCGGTCTTGACAAAGCCTATTGGCAAAAAGCATGGGCGCTCTGGGACAAATACACGAGTGATAACCCACAGCACCTACACTGGCCAGGCAACCTCACGCTCCGACAGCTTTGTTCATATTTGACATATTTGACTCTGGCGTCAGAGAAAACTGTACTTATTTGAACTGTATGTCTCTGGGCATGTGGCCCCCCATGGCTCTCAACTCTTCATCACCCTTGAGTCCACACTGAACTATAACGACCCTCGAGTCCATACTGAACTATAACGACCTCCAGGACATCATTGGGAATTACCAGCTACCCTACAAAGAACAAAGTATGCATATGAGTACTGTCACCCTGCCCACCTTCCTACTGTTCGTTAATATGTTACGTGTTACTGTATATCACTGTAAGCATTATGTACCACAAACTAAGCAAACTCACTCCAATCTAATCTTATAGGTGTCCTGCGTGACACATGAGACAATGAATATGAATATAAAGAAATACCTTTTTCTTTTCTTTTTTTTTTTTTTTTAAGTAGAAAATTCGGGGATCTCTTGATACCAAGCCAAAGTCAGGTAGACCAAGAAAGATTTCAGCCACAACTGCCAGAAGAATTGTTCGGGATACAAAGAAAAATCCACAGGTAACCTCAAGTGAGATAAAGGCTACTCTGGAAAAAGATGGTGTAGTTGTTACAAGGAGCACAATGCTAACGCTTGAACAAAAAAGAGCTGCATAGTTGAGTTCCCAGAAAAAAACTTTACTGCTCCAGTGCCACAAAAAAGCCCGGTTACAATATGCCCGACAACACTTTGACATGCCTCACAGTTTCTGGCACAGTGTAATTTGGAGTGACAAGACCAAAATAGAGCTTTGATCACAACCATAAGTGCTATGTTTGGAGAGGGGTCAACAAGGCCTATAGTGAAAAGAATACTATCCCCACTGTGAAGCATGGTGGTGGCTCACTGATGTTTTGGGAGTGTGTGAGCTCTAAAGGCACGGGAAATCTTGTGAAACTTTGTTATCAGAATATACTGGCAGACCATTTGCATTCTTCTGCACTAAGACTGCACTCTTAGACTTTCCAGCATCACAATGACCCTAAGCACAAGGCCAAGTTGACCCTTCAGTGGTGACAGCAGAAAGAGGTGAAGGTTCTGGAGTGGTGATCACAGTCTCCTGACCTTTAAATCATCAAACGGATCTGGGAAGATCTCAAACGTTCGGTTCATTGCATGACCTGAAGGCATTTTGCCAAGACTAATGGGCAGCTATACCACCTGCAAGAATTAGTCTTGACAACTATTACAAAAGACTGCACACTGTCATTGATACTAAAGGGAGCAATACAGAGTATGCAGTATTTTGAATAGAGATCATTTATTTTTTTCCATTTTGCCATGTTTTGTTTTATGATTGCGCAATTCTGTTATAACTTACGGTTGTTGTTATTATTACTTTATTATTTATATAGCACCAGCAAATTCCATAGCGCTGTACAATGGGTGGACTAACAGACATGTAATTGTAACCAGACAAGTGGACGCACAGGAACAGAGTGGTTGGGGGCCCTACTCAATGAGCTTACATGCTAGAGGGAGTGGGGTATTGTCAGGATACACTAATATGCCCAACGTAGAACTAAAGTAAAAATAAAGAAAACCCTAAGGCATATTACCAGGCTTTATAACGGCCGGATTTATTGTATAAAAAGAAAAGCACAAGACAGGCTGAGGTCAGAATAGTCAGGGGCCAAGCCAAAGATCAAGGGATACAGAGATCAGAATAGTCAGTAAGAAAGCCAAGGTCAAAATACACAAGAAACCATACCAGAAACGAGCTCTCAGATAACCAGAATGGGGCACAGAGAAATGGGAAAAAAAAGGTTTAAATAGCCTAAGGTGCTCCTTGATTGGCTGCAGAGGAGCATGTGACAGTGGAACGTGTGTTTGTGACATCACAAACACGTTCCCAGTGGTTATGCACTAAAGGGTTCTTACTTGCAGCGGCCGACGTCTCTAATGTTTACAGACCCGCAGGAGGAGGTGGGTAATCAGCGGCATTCCCGTTGCCATGTGGCAATGCTGCTGCAACAAGATGCACCCGCTGGGTCCCAGTCTGCACTCTGGCAGGAACGTAACTGGCAGGTGCCGTGACCAGGGGTAAGTTCTCGGCGGCATTGCCACATCGCAAAGAGAAGTGCCCGCCGTGTCCCTGTCTCTGGCAGGAGCGGACCCAGCGGCGGTGGTGACAGTACCCTCTCCCCTACAAACCGCCCACTGGGCTGAGGAGGAGGCTGGCTTATGGGGAAACTGGACATGAAAAAGCACGCAGCAGCCTATCAGCATGCACATCAGAGGAAGGAACCCATGAGTGCTCCTCCAGGCCATAACCCTTCCAAGGAATCAAATACTGCAACACCCCACGCGACCACCTGGAGTCGACTACAGATTGGATCTCATACTTGACCTGACCATCGACATACACAGGAGAAGGACGAAACGTTCACTTAGTGTAACGATTACACACCAAAGGTTTGAGTAACGACACATGAAACACATTATGGATACGCAAGGCCGTGGGAAGCGCCAAGGCATATGACACAGGATTGATTTTCCTAGACATCACATATGGGCCAATGAACCTGGGAGCCAATTTCATAGTCGGTGTGGCGAAAGTAACCTCGCCACTGGAGGGGCCTGCTTGCCAGCCTCATGCCCCAGGATTATGGGCCCTGCAAAAAGACATGTTAAAATGTGACTTCCATGGGAAAATGTGCCATTTTCCTGTCCTATTGTTTCCCCAGCAGGGCGTTGTCCCAGGGACACTGCCAGACCAGCATTAACTGGCTGCTTTGTCCCTCCTCAATATCCCATCAGCCCTTGCTATTGTCTGACCCCACCCTTCCTTGTACTATAGTGCTCTACGTAATCTGTTGTATGTAAATGAGGCTGTTGGGGGTTTAAATGTATGTATAAAAGTGCTGGATTGCATTAAACAGACCTGCTTTACCCCTTCATGAAATCTTGGCTCATGTTTGGGGCATTGGAAAGCTACACTCTGGGGATTGCTATAATTACTATATTCCCCTGAGTTTAATCATTAGCTCTTCTAAGAGCTGCTCCTGCTACGTTCTCTGGAGGAGGAGAGGTCTACCCACAGGGAGCTGGATCCTGGTCTTGGGTCCAGAGTGGGTGGAGGACGGCAAGACCCCAACCAAGCTGCGGCGGTTCGTGGGGTCTATAGTGCTTATGGTGTTTGGTGGAGTGCTAGGAGCCCTCGGAAACCACTAGGAGCATCGATTGGCAGAGGCACTTGGTCAGAGTGCCAGGCGGTCCGTCAGTCGGCACCTTCAATCTGATGTTGCGAGTAGAAATCCAGACTTTATCCCCAAATAGATAACTAGGTGCCATAGATCGGCGTTTGTCCACATGGAATTTATGACGAGAGGAAGCTAAAGTCAATGTTTGCTGTATAAGCTTCCACATTTCCTTAAGATCAAGAACCAGTAATCCTGTTTCATGAAACTGAGAAGGAATAACAAGGGAATGCTTACCATAAGTAGCGAAAAGGGGGCAATGCGGTTAAGAGTTGTGTGAATTGCGAGCAAATTCTACACAAGGAAGAAGGCCATGCCAGTTATATTGGTTATGTGATTAGTCTGGGGATGATATGATGAGAAAAAAGACAATGAAACCCCCCGTTCAGAACAAACCTTCCACTAAAATAGAGATGTAACGGACCGCCTGGCACACCGACCGTTTACCTGCGTCTATTGCTGCTTCCTAGTACAATCATTGCACTGGAACACGATAACCACCGTAGACCCCACGAACCACTGCAGCTTGGTTGGGGTCTCGCCGTCCTCCACCTACCCTGGACCCAAGACAAGGATCCAGCTTCCAGTGGGTAGACCTCTCCTAGTCCAGAGAACATAGCAGGAACAGGGGACAAACCGCAGCACTTCTTGCCCTAAGTCGCCATAGCTTGACTGGGGCCCTGGAACCGCTCCTTCCTGGAGCCGAATGGGGAGTTAGCTCTAACACCTCCAGGCACTGGACAACACTCAGTCCTGGGAACTCTGGAACCGAATGGGGAATTAGCTCTAGTCCTTACACGGACTTTCCCCTATGAATCTCCTGCAAGCTGGAACAGCAGACACAGGAGCAAATCTTTCCCTCCAATAACAGGATGAAAGATAGTTTTGGAGTGTTAGCAGGAACAGGAAGTTTAATGGCACACACTGGTCTTTTATACAAGTTATACAGCAAAGGTGACGCCCAGGTGGACCTGGTTGGGCACCGAATACAAAACATACAAGCCAATAAAAACAGAGGTTTACATTCAGACACCCAATACAGTGTACACAATCCCTCCCCTCTGCCTGTGATATAATTAACGAAGACTGTGGACTAACTCAATTAACTCTAAGCAGAAAAAACATAAATTTTTACAAACCCCAAAATAAAAAATAATCCCCACAAAAGTCACATCCCTGATAGCCCCGATCTGGGTGAACAACATATCCAAAAATCACCAAGATGGGTTTAGCAATTTCCTGGAAGTCTTATTTTTGCCCCACCGTGCACATAGTCCAATGCCCAAAATAGTTCCATACACTCAACGACAAAACACTGCTGAACAATTTAAGATGGCTGTTGCCACGTGTTTGAATCTGTTCCAGTTAGAAGTGTCCAAGGGGTAGAAACAGTACTTTTGAACATGGGTTATCACAGGGCCCATAGTCCCAGGGTAGGAGGCTGGCAAGCAGGCCCCTCCAAAAACTCATGGCAAAAAGGGGAGTTTGTCACACATCTCTCCTCTCCTGGGGAGACTATCCAGACCCCAGACCTCCCATCTGGGGCTCTGATAGTCTGTTGGCCTTTCCCAAAAGGCGTAGTGTTCCAGTTGGCCTCTTTCCACAAGGGCCCAGTTTTAGATCCAGTGTCCTGCGAGGAAACAACTTGGATGCCTCCCCCTGGTTGGACAAAGTTGTTGCTGGGGACGGTGGGTGCAGTCTCCCTCCTCTGTGCCTGGTGTGTAGAGGCCAGCGGCGCTCTGCCCCACAGCCAGTGGTTCAGCTGGCCCCAGAACAAAGGGGTAGTTAGGGCAGAGGCTAGCTGCGCTCTGCCCAGATGACAGCTCTTCTGCTGGGATGGGGTCAGTGAGTACTACCCGGTTAATTGATAATAGTGGAAACTGTGTGATTCTTTTAAGTCATATGTCCTGCTGTACTATCACACCTGGTTACCAAAGGGAGTCTATGATTGGATGGTCCTCGAGCCAACTAATCCTGTCCCCATTTTGTAATTGGGTGAATTTAGACCATGTAATTATTTAAGGTATAGCTTTATACTAATCACATTTGTTTTTAAATATAGGGTCTTTCAAGTTATATTATTGGTGGATTCATTGCTTTAAGGGTATATTGTGATATTGCTATATCTTATGCTAATTTATTTATTACACCTAGGATTAAATTTGTGGATGACAACTCGGCATGGTTTAATGAACAGCAATACCGTGATATCCATCTATGACCATATTGTCGCCAATTATATTTGTCTTTATAATATGACAATATATCATTATAGACTCGGATATATTCCTATCTAATGGTTAAGATGTTAACAACTTCTTATAGTGGAACATGCAATTGAGTAGCTTTTGCAAATTATGTATTTTGATAAAACTTAGATACATCTTTACTCAATAGCTAAGATGTTAACAACATCCCACAGCAAAGCATTGAGCTAAGAATCCGTTGCAGATTAGATTAAACGTGCTGAATATATTTTTAAGACCTAATGGTTAAGTTGTCAATGACCCCTTTGAGTATAAACATCAATCATAGTACCCTTCACAATTTGGCTATAGTTCTTGATATATATTTTGGATATATCTTTATCTAATACTTAAGATGGTAACAACACTTCATGATGCATACATCTAGCAAAGATTTTTTTAATTAAGCTATGTGACCTCAATATGTTCATGACGCTTAGTAATTGATAGTGCTCTTGATAGTTTGAGCTTTCGGCATTTTTTATCCACATACGTAATATACAGTGAATAATAGCCCACAGGTATCTGACAGTAAAGCGGACATCACAAGCCCGCCCCTAAGCTCTCCAATACGCCCACTGTTTGTCAATGTTGGATCCCGCCCATACATCCCACGTGGGATAGGATAAACCACACTGTGATGCAGTACCTCCCCGATGGGCGTGTCGGTACGAGCGAGAGGGCAGCCTTTTCAGATTTATGACGGCAGCTGGTAAGGCAGTTAATCTTTTCCTGATTACTAGGTCAACATAAGGTGGTACAAGCACTTTCTAATGTTAGTTTATTGGTGCCATTCCTTAAGCTTATTAACAGTGGCGTACACACAACCCAGGGGGCCCCGGTGCGAAAACTGATCCGTGGGCCCCCTCCCGCGCGCTTACTCTGACCGGGCCGGGGCCGCAACACATGGCGGCGGGCACCGCAGTATGTACGCAAGTGCATGCAGATACACTTAAAGGACCACTACAGACACCCAGATCACATCAGGTCAATGAAGTGGTCTAGGTGCCAGGTCCCTCTAGTTTTAACCCTGTAGCTGAAAACATAGCAGTTTCAGAGAAACTGCTATGTTTCACTGAGGGTTAATCCATTCTCTAGTGGCTGTCTCACTGACAGCCGCTAGAGAAGCTTCCGCGATTCTCACTGTGAAAAGTGAGAACGTCCATAGCAAAGCATTGAGTAATGCTTTCCTATGGGCGGTTTTAATGCGTGCGATGCTCTTGCCGTGCATGCGCATTCGGAGTTGAGAGGTGGATTGGGGTGGAGGGATCCCCAGCACCAAGGGAGTCCGGCGCTGGGGAAAGGTAAGTGCTGAAGACACACACACTCTCACGAACAGACGCATACACACTAACTAACAGACACACACACACACTCTCACAAACAGACGCATACACACTAGCTAACAGACACACACATTTACTGACAGACAAGCACTCAGTGACAGACATACATACACACTCACTGACAGACAGACACATACACACTCACTTACAAAACACAGACATCAAACAGACTCACTAACAGACGCACACAAACTAACACACACACAGTAACACACTCACTGACACACACAAACTAACACACACACTGACACTAACACTAACACACACACACTCTAATACTAACACAAACACTAAAACACACACACTCTAACACTAACACACACACTGGGATTGCATTTTTAAAAAAACGTTTGTGTGTGTTAGTGTGTGCGTTAGTGTTAGAGTGTGTGCATGTTACACAAACTCTAACACACACTGTAACACTAACACATACACACGTTTAAAAAAAAATGTAATCCCAGTGTGTGTTAGTGTTAGAGTGTGTGTATGTGTTAGTGTTACCAAACACACGCTAACACACACACACTCTAACACTAACACACACACACGCTTTTTAAAAAATGTAATCCCCCAGCCTCCCTACCTTTGCGAGTGCTGAAGGGATTCCCTGGGGTCCAGTGGTGCTGCTGGGCGGCCGGTCACCGTCATATTCCGGCTCCGGCATCAGTGTGGTGCGTGAGGGAGCTGGGCAGAGAGCGCTCAGGGGAGAGTTTTTCCTCGCGCGCCCGCCATCCCAACCGCCGGGTGACACCAGGGCCGGCCTCGGTACATACTGGGTCGCAGGGCGGCCGGGGCCCTTGGTGGGCCAGGCCCAGTATGTACGCCATTGCTTATTAAGCATACACCCCTGTGAGAGTCTCTTTGTATATCGAACTAGGCACATTGGATAAGACACTATAGGGAACACCCCCTTAAACAGCTGATCCTAATTAGGGTTAATGAACCCTTGGGTATTTAAATGGAATCTTTGATAAGAGAGCTCACTTTCCCCTTGACGACGAGCATCGGGCTCGACTTATTTATTTTTAAAGACAAAAAAACAAAAAAAAACAACAAGGGTACTAAATAAAATAAATAGATAAGAAATATATATAGCCAAACACGAAATAGGTGAATAATAAAAATATTATACAACCTGAGAAAACAATACAAAGTATTCTGTAACATAAGTAAAAAATGTATATGGTGTAGTATGTTAAATATAAATATTGATAAATATTGAGGTGAGGGTGGTAGAGAACTCACTAGATGGATGTATATTCAGGCATTTGTCCCATAAATAGGGTCAGGAAAGTGGATGGATAATCTTCAAACAAGATCTAACAGAAAGAAGAAAAAATATAGTGCAGACGGTATTAAAATATATTTTAATACCGTCTGCACTATATTTTAATACCATCTTTACTTAACTTTGAGTGTCTTGATAGAGAACACTTTTCCTTAAAGGGTCTAATTGTGTTTTGGGAGCATATAGTGAACCACTCTTGTGTATTTTTATTTATTTTTAACCATGCTATTTTGCACGTGTTAGGTAGCACTTTTTCTTTTGAGTTACTTATATAGGGTCTTTGGTTCAGGTAGGCACTAGCTTTGTGCGGTGCCGAGGTATTAGGGACAGATGTGGATCAATTCTCTATGGGGTATGGTGATAATGGTGGGAATGGAGCAGTGATTTTTAATAATCGTTTAGGGAGTTTCTTTTCTGTTTTGTCTCTGATTACTAATTATTAACCTCCAACTAGCTGATGTGTAGGAGATTCTCTCTTTTTTAGTAGAGATTCAGATTATCCCCCCTTCCCTTATCACCTCTCATTGGTTTCTTCCTAATAGCAGGGTATCCTTTTCAAGTGGAACGCTCATCTGCACCCTATGGCTGATTCCCTTATACCTAGTATGTACATATTGATCCTATATAGGACCCTTTAATTGTTAATGGTAGCTTAATGCCTTAAGGATAAATAAAGGTTTTACATATATTTTGGCTTTTAGGCTACTAATCTAATTTAAGTTGTACTTACTCCTAGACATCCACTTCCATTTGGAGTGAATGTCTTGGATATTGTTCTTTTTCTATCATCCGTGAGGTATAGCCAATATCCCTCTAGGCACCGTGAGCAAGGGATCCATGTCTGGATTGCCCTTTAAACTTAAATATAATATATTTACACCTCAACAGTCCCCCCCCCCCGCCCCCCTCTGTTTTTTCTTTACTATCTTGTATTTACCAAATTGAGTACCAGGCGCAGTCCAAGGCAGTGCTAGAAAGCTTTGCCCAGAGAGATCTATTCCCTGTCAGGGAAAAAACAAAGAGGAGCTATTACAAGCACTGGTGGACTATGATATGCAACAAGCAGTGCAAAGTGATGCCTCAAACACTGCAGAGGAGACACCTATACCTTTTATCCATGATGTACCGAGATCTGGAGATCCTTTGGATTGTTACTAACTGTGTTAAAATATGTAGACTCGGCAGATACAAACCAAAAACTACAGCATATTCTTCAATATCAGGAGGCTGAGAGAGAGAGTGGCTGCAGAGTGCCAAGCCGAGCGGGAGCGCCAAGCTGCCAGAGAGCATGAGCTAAAAATGGCTGAGTTGGAAAGGTTGAATGCCTCCTCTATAAGTATTAATTCCAGAGACTCTTCTGCACCCAAACCACGTGCAGAGAGTTTTCCAGCTTTGGATAGAGATGGTGATTTGGATGTTTTCCTGCGCAGTTTCGAAAAAGTTTGCAGGCAGTACCAGCTACCAAAGGACCAGTGGGAAAGGTACCTCATCCCTGGTCTCAAAGGTCCTGCACTGGAAGCATTTGCTGCACTGGAAGCAGAATCTGACCAGGACTGTGATACGATTAAGGCTGCCTTGCAAAGACAGTACAACCTTACACCTGAGGTGTACCAAAAGAAATTCAGGACTTTGCAAAAGTGTTCCACAGAAAGTTGTGCTGCCGTTGTGGGGCACCTGGCAACAGCATTCAGGCAGTGGGCTACAGGGCTGGAGATTACCACTTTGGAAAGTTTGCAAGACGTGTTAATAGAACAACAGTTTTTGCAGCTCTGCCCCACTGATGTACAGGAATGACTGCTGGACCAGAACCCCAAAACAGCATTGGAGGCGGGTGAACTGGCAGATTTCCACACTGCCAACCAAGCAACAGTGGAACGAATCAGAGGCTTTGCCAAGGGAGCATCCAACTGAGGGGGAGCTAGTGCCATCTCTGCACAAGGAGATAGTCACAGATGTTTTATTTGCAACTACGTGGGGCACATCAGTGTTACTTGCCCTGGGAAACGGCAGCCAGCATCATCAGCTTGGGAGGGATGCTCCTCAGAACTGTTTTGTTTGTAACCATATCAGAGAGCAGCAAGAATTTGAATCTGCAACCTGTGACAATTGGAAAGAAGGTAGCTGTAGGACTCAGGGACACTGGGGCAGATGTGACTCTTGTCACTTCTAGTGCGTTCTGAAGACTTAATTCCTTGCAGGACTCTAGCAGTTAAAGGTAGTGTCAATGGCACAAGTTTATCTGATTGGGGTGCAGGGAAGGGTTTCAGAAATGTAGGGGTAGATGAGAATATCCCCTAAATCAGTATTACTTGGTACTGATTTAGGTAGATTGTTATCCCAGTATGTGCCTGAAAATAATGTGTGTTATAAACCCAAGCCTCGTAGGGGCCCTATTGTGCAGAGGGCAATATGTAACAGTGTGCCAAGAAAAGTTGCTAAGAGGGAGGGCAAAATGAGCATGCGTGCCAGGCTGTGCCAAAACCAGAGTTGTCTGTGGTACAAGGTGAATGTTGGCCAGGGCAACTTCGCTGGGAGGGAGGGCAGAATGTGTGTCAATCTGTGCCTAACTGTGGAAACGTGAAAATGTAGGCAGGAAATTGTGCTGGGAGGGAGGGTAGAATGAGCATGCGTGTTAGTCTGTGTCAGAACTAGCAATGTCTGCAATACCATGTGAGAATAGGCAAAAACAACTTCACAGGGAGGTAGGGCAGGATGAGCGTGTCTGCCTATCTGTGTCAGAGCCAGGGTTGTTTGAGATGCCATGTGAAAATGTACAGGAACAGCCTTCTAGCAAGAAGGGGCTGAATGAATATATGTGCCTGAAGCAAATGTATCTGATGTTCTGCATGAATATGTAGAAAAACTGGGCTGGGAGGGAGAGCAGAGTGTATGTGCCAGACTCAGCCAGTTCCCCAAGGTTCTGTTTGTGTGAGAATATGGAGTGAAATTGAGGGAGAGACAGGGGTTCCATCAGTAGAAAGGGAGACTTATCCACAGTCTGCCCAAAGTGAAGGGCAGGGACAGACTCAGCTTGTGGATCCAGGAAGGATGTCCGCAGGGGAGCATACTGTTAGGGGAACCAGGAAACTTGTCAGCATCTCACATCCCGCATACCCCCTGCTGGCTCAGGAGCAGGAGTCTGTCGCTAAGCCACTTTCTGATTCTGAACCAAAGGTTCAGAGTCAGATAGTGCAATGAGCCCAGCAGACAGACCCTAAAATAAAAGAGATAAAGGGTGTTGATACAGTGCAAGTACCCTGGGAGTGTTCTCTGTCTCATCTTTTGTGTGCTTACGGGGAAGTACTGCAGAAATATGTTGGTTTCTTTCCCTTAGAGCTACTACATGGGCGCAGTGGGTGTGATCCGAGAGATGTGACCAGAGAGCAGTGGGAAATGGAAACCGGCAAATCAGGCATGTGTGTTGTGGATATGGCTGTGATATTGCTTAGGGACTAAAGGCAAGCCTTTTAGGGGTAGGTGTGCGAACACGAGTACTACCCCATTCATGCAGTATTGTATTTAGGATTTGTGCTGCCCTAGGCAGGACGGTGCTCGGGCACCCTTCTAATTTAAATTTTCTCCACCCTTTCCTATCAAGGCCGTACTTTGACTGACAGACGCACACTCACTAACAGATGCATACACTCATTGACAGACACACACTCTCATATACACTAACAAACAATGACATACACTCACACTCACTGATTTGACACACTGATAGACAGACACACACTATTACTCAGACACACACTGACAGACACACACTCACTGACAGACGCACGTACTCACTGACTGGCACATACACACTCACTGAGCGACATACACACACATTCACTGACCGATATACACACATGCACTTAGACACACACACTTACAGACACACACACACTTAGACACACACACACATTCACTCACAGACACACATACACACATTTCCACCAACACTCACAAATTATTATAAATTTTTTAATTTAAATCCACCCAGCCTCCCTGGGAGAGCTGGAGTGGATTACTTACCTGTGGTCCAGTCGGGCTGCTGCGATGGCAGGCAGGGGGTTGACTGGCTGAGTAGGTGGCGAGGGAGCTCTGATTTTCCTGCTCAGCTCCCTTACGCGCCACTTAGTGATGCCAAGAGCCGGATTGACGTCATATTCCAGCTCCCGGCTTCATTAGGCGGCGCACAAGGAAGCTGAGCAGGAAGGGCTCAGGTGAGCATGCTCCCTCGCTGCCTGCCGCCCGCCTCGGGGTAGCTCAGAAGTGGCCAGCTCTTGAGCCCCCCAGGACATGAGGCAAACAAGGGATCTGCTGCCCCCTGCCTTGTTTGCCTCATGGAAGATACATCACTGCATTCATGCATAAATAGTGGTATGAAAAAGATGAGTGTATGAGGTGGAGGCAAAAAGGAACATGTGTTGATGCGCAAGGTAGAGGCATGTGAGCCTTCTCCCACTGCGTCTCTTATTTGGGGGAGGTGTCACAGCAAGGGTGCATAATTTATTATTACACTATGGAATATTGCTATTTAAGATAACTTGTGTAGTGCATCAATAATTTGACACTTGGGTAGATGACAAATGGCAGAGAGAAATTGCTCTTTTGATCAAAAGGGGCTTCTGCAAGGTGTGAAAAGGATTGCCCTTTTGATCTATCATAGGCCCTACAAGGTGAGACATTTTACACTTGAGCCGCCTGTATGTCTAGTTTCAATGTAAACCAACTGACTTTGACCATATGGCCTTAAACTCTCAATTGATTGTTCAATGCTTTGATATGGTAATGGTATTCGTTTCATGAAGACCCTTGTGTTCCAGTATCATATCCAAGAGAAACATTAATACTTACCCACAGCTTAATAATTAAGCCTCATTTTTATTATATTTGGAATGGGACATGCCCAATCTTTTAATTAAGACTAAACATGCACAACTTAAACCGTGTGGCAGGAATTGTGATGTCCATCCTATTGGATCGCGGGTGGGGTGTGCAACGTATCTATGGGATGGGAAAATAATAAACTCGTAGATGCAATTATTATTTCTGTGGCAGATACATAAGAGAAGATAGAGCCAAATATTTCCATTTGGATTGACGTTGGTCTGGAACAAAGGAGGTGGTCACTTATTATTTCTATAGGTACACCTTAACACCACCCCTGGGCAAAACTTGATAATCCACAGGGTCTTAATCCAATGGTTTGGTGTACTTGCTTGGGGCCGAGATCTAATTTTGAGTGAGTCACCATCATCCTTCCTTGCTAGAGACCCCCTGGGCAGAAGTTATACTTTGAAAACCTAAGGACTTTTATTTTATCCTTTTTGTTATCTGTTGTTGGTGTAAATCATTTGTTTATCATATATTTTTGAATGCAATGTGACTATTATTTTGCTCATAATAAACATTAATTTATTAAGTTCTGCCTTTGTCTGGTTAAGAATCACGTTACCTAAAGAGACTAATTAGTATTTTGCAATTACAATTTTGTGCTTTGGTGGGTTTTTATTATTGATTTACCTGGGGGACCAAGGCACCCCATTTATAAATTGCCTTGGTGGTGGCAGCATTAAAATAGTAATAGTTATATTATTATGTTTAAGTGTGGGTGGTGCTAAGGGGGTTTTGTCATTATTTCCAGTCTAGTGTAGACAAATAGTGAGTGTTAACCCTTTCACCACAACAACTACATCACACACACTCTTGAAGTAGGGTGTGTTTGTGACAAAGGTCGCTAACAAACTTTTTATCTATGAAGCTCTCAGCGGCTCCTGAATCGACAAGAGCTTTACAAGAAATGTTATGCGCACCCCAAGATAGAATAACCAAGAGGAGGAACCTGTTGTGAGGCATGACAGAGAACGATTTCATTACACCTAAGGCCGGTCCTGTAACGGTGATTAGGTGTGGAGGTCTTCCGGATGTATAGGGCAGTTTAGGCATAAATGTCCCTTTTTTCTGCAATACAAGCATAAACCCTCAGCCCTACAATAGTTTCTCAGCTTCCGATAGCTTCATCACTCACAGTTGTATGGGTTTAGACTCAGTGGCAATTGCAGGAGCAGATGGAGTCATACGAGGAGCTGGAGAAACAGAAGAACGGACAGTTCGTGTTTTGGTCTTTGCTCTCTCCCTAAGGCGATTATATCCATCATATAGACCATATAGTCTTCCAATAAGTCTGGTAGGTCTTTAGCGGATGTTTCATCTGAGAAAGCTGTAACCAAACAACTATTTGTCCAATCTACCTCAGCTGCTAGCATGCAAAATTCTATGGCGTAATCCGCACCGGATCTATTGCCCTGTTTTATCCGCATTAACGCCTTGGCTGCCTCCTGAAGTAGCCTGCTCGCTAGTCTCCTGCCCAAGGAAAATGGGCCATGTACCAGACTTCTAAAAGACTTGGTTTGTGTGGTTTCCCTTTATTGTTTGGGAACCTAACTGAACCGAAGCACAAGAACCAAAATACCGAACTGCGGACCACCTCTGGGCTTGTTATCCCCTACTGACTTCTCCGGACACCTCCATCATCGTTTTCACACTATGGATTCTAAGTGTTCAGCTGGGCATCTTGTTCGCATTAACGTAGGCATGGTCGTCGAGTGCGTGGAACTAAAATCAGACAATCTAACTCGCGAACACCGCTGAACTTTGACGAACACCTGTTTCGTTGCTATTCATGTCAGGAGAGTGCCATTCGGAAGGATTGTTCGCATGAACTAGGCGAACAATCGCTACCTAGGAGCCAGAGGACGGGTTCGGTATTTTGTTAGGTTTTGGACTCCCGAAATTGACCGACCGCTACCACTTTTCTTATGGAACTATTTTGGGCAGAAGCCACGTGTGGCGTCAGTCAAAAGTTTCCATCTAAACCACCAAACTGATCTGAGTGATTTTGGATATGATGGTCACTCAGATCAGGGCTATCTGGGGATGTGACTCTTTAGGGGTTTCCATGTATTTTGGGGGTACTTTTTGGGTGTTTATAAATTTATTATTTTCTGTACCTGGAGATAATTGAGTTTGTACAGTTCCTGACTCAATTATCTCTCAGGCACAGGGGAGGAGTTTACTGTGTGTATACATGCTGAAGCTTTGCCTGCATTAAACAGATCTACAGCTATACTCTCTGTAGGAGAGCTTTGACCACTCGGAGCTGGATCCAGGATCTTGGTCTAGGGTGAGAAGCGATGGCGAGACCCCAGCCAAGCTGTGGCTAGGAGCTAAAAGTGCTTTTGGCAATAGCTAGGAATCGTGTTTGGCGGAGGTACCCAGTCAGGGTACCAGGCGGACCGCCACAGTAGGTAAGCCGAAGTTCAAGGGATACAGAGATTGGAACAGTCAGTAAGAAAGCCAATGTCAAAATACACAAGAAACAATACCAGAAACGCGCTCTCGGATAACCAGAATGGAAACCATGACAGGGCACCGAGAAATGGACAAAAAAGGTTTAAATAGCCTAAGGTTCTCCTTGATTGGCTGCACAGGAGCATGTGACAGTGGTCACACACATGTTCCCAGTGGTTATGCACTAAAGGGTTAATTAAGAACCTTAAAAGGTTCTTACTTGCAGCGGATGGCGTCTTTAATGTTTACAGACCCATCCGCTGTGTGAGGAGAGGAGTGCCTGTCAGTGAGGCCAGCAGGAGGAGGTGAGTAATCGGCGGCATTCCCATTGGCATGTGGGAATGCCGCTGCAACGGGATGCACATGCCGGGTCCCAGTCCTCTCTGGTTCGAGCAGACCCGACAGGTGCCATGACCAGGGGTAAGTACTCCACCGCAACGAGACGTGCCCGCCGGGTCCCAGACCGCTCTCTGGCAGAAGCGGGCCCGGCAGATGGCATCACCGGTGTAGTGACACAAAGGGTATAAGTAATGGTAACGAAGTAGGTTGCTAGAAAAGTATTCACTGAGGGCTAAGTAGGTTATTTTTGACAGTTGCAAGAGAGGAGTCATGGGGGGATGAAAACCTGCTAACAGTTCATGTTATATGTTTTCCTGAAGAAGTGAGTTTGAAAATATTTTTTGAAGGAGTGGAGACTAGATCTTCGGCAAAGCGCAGGGGCCTCGACGTACTTGTGTATAAGGGAGGATAGGTAGGTTGGAGCAGCATTGTGTAGGGACTTGTATGCAAGCACCAGAATCTTAAATTGAGACCTATCTCTAACTGGAAGCCAATGTAGGGACTGACAGAGGGGGAAGGTGTGGGGGCGGGTAGACAGGAAAATTAGCCTCGCCGCCGCATTCACTATAGATAGCAGTGGTACAAGCTGGGAAAACGTAAGACCACTGAGAAGAGGATTGCAGTAGTCAAGGCGAGAATGAACAACGGCATGGACCAGCACCTTAGCCGTGTCCCGTGTTAAACAAGCTATGTTTTTGAGACGAAAGTGTCAGGATTTGGTGATCGACTGGACATGAGGGGTGAAGGAGAGGTCGGAGTCAAACAGAACACCTAGGCAGCGAGCCTGTGAGGTAAAGGTGATGATGGCACCGTGGACTTGGAAGGAGACACACGGGAATAGCAACACTTGAGGGAGGAAAGACCAAAAGTTTTGTTTTGGACAGGTTGAGCTTAAGGAAGTGAGCAGCCATCCAGTTGGAAATCACGGAGAGGCAGTCAGAGACATGAGTCAAGATGGGCAGAAAGAGATTAGGAAAGGACAGGTACATTTGCTTATCATCTGCATATAAATGATAATGGTGGCCAAAGAAGCTTTACCAAGGGAGACAGTATAGATAGAGAACAGTAGTGGACCAAGGACAGAGCCAACAGAGAGGGGTTGGGGAGAAGAGGCTGAGCCAGAGAAAGAAACACTGGAAAAGCGCTGGGAGAGGTAGGAGGAGCACCAGGAGAGAGCAGTATCATGTAGACCGAGATTACGGAAAATGAGAAGAAGGCAGCAAAAAAATGAAGGAGAATTAGGATAGAGTAACGGCTGTGAGATTTAGCAACTATTAAATCGTTGGATAGTGGGTCAAGCAGAGAGTTGGCTTCGAGGAAGTCTGTCAGTTTCACATACACAGCACTCTCATGGATCTTGGAGGCAAATGGCAGTAGCGATATAGGGTGGTAGTTGGATGGGGAGCTGTGGTCAAGGTTTGGCTTTTTCAAAATCATTATGGTTGCATGTTTATAGGGTGATGGAAATGTGCCAGAGGAAAGACAGAAATTTAAAATTTTAGTGAGAGGGAATATGATCGAGGGAACAGGTGGTGGGGCGAGAGGAGCGGAACAGGGCAGAAACCTCTTCTGTTGTAGCAGGTGTGAATGAGCATAGAACAGCGGAGGGAGTGGGGTTGGGTGGTGTATTGGTAGGGGAGGGAGAGACATTAGAGATCTTTTCTCTGATTGTAGAAATCTCAGTGAACTGAGTTGCAAAGTTTGAGGTGGTAGGAGGAGGGGGAGCAACAGGGCGAAGAAGAGCATTAAAAGTGTGAAATAAGCATTTGGTTTGGCAGGACTGTGTGTTTATGAGGGTAATTTACTTTTGTAGAGGAACGAGCCAGACTGTAGGAGCACAGCATAAATTTATAGTGGAGGAAGTCAGGTGCAGATTGAGACATTTGGGAGCTATTGGGTCAGGTTGGTGTGCCAGGGTTGTAATTGGGAGCGCTTGCTGCGTTTAAATGTAGGAGGTGCCATGATGTCTAGTTGAGAAGAGAGAGTGGGGTTGTGGAGTGAGGTTGCAGAGTTAGGGCAAGTGAGATGTGTAAAAGGAGAGTTTGATGGAGAAATGCTGGAGATCAAGGCAGTGGAGGTTTCTGCGAGATTGGAGAGTTGAGGGTGGTGAGATTTAGGTACGAGGTATGCTGATGTCAAAGGTCAGCAGATGGTGGTCAAACTAAGGAAATGGAACATTGGAAAGATTAGAGGTACAGGAGTGGTACAGAGATTGGTGAAGATGAGGTCAAGAGTGTTTCCTGCTGTATGAGTTGCTGAAGTAGACCACTGTGTGAGGCCAAAGGAGGAGGTTACAGAATGCCGATGGGAACCATCAGGGCAGTTGAGGTTGTTGATTTGGGATGTTAAAGTCCCCAAGTATGAGGGAAGGAGTGCTAAAGGAGAGATGGTGGGGTAGCCATGAAAAAAGGTGTTTAATGAATAGCCTAGGATGAGCAGGGAGGTGAGGTGGCAATAGATGACGGCAATTCTGAAATGAAAGGGCTTAAATATGTGGGCAGTGTGAACATCAAAGGAAGTAAAGGATAGGGCAGGGAGGATAGGTTGAAAGGTATATTGAGGGTAGAGAAGGATGCCTACACCGTTTCCCTTACAACGGAGTCTGGGAGTGTGGGAGAATTGTGGACCACCAAAGCATAAAGAAGCAGGAGTAGCGGTATCAGAGGATGACAGCCAGGTCTCAGTGAGTGCTAAGTAGTGTGAGTGAATTAGAGATGAATAGGTCGTGTATGGCTTTTGATTTAATATTGTTACAGATGGAACGGGCGTTCCAAAGTGCACAATGAATGTTGGTAGAGGAGGAGAAACTGCAGGGTATTTGGTTGAGGTTTGCATGGTTTCTGGTGTCTTAGTGTGGGCAGATGAGGTGAACGGTCCTGGGTTGGGAGAGACATCAGCAGTTGCTAGAAGTAGGATGAGAGATAGTGACAGGAGGTGTGAATGGGTTTTATATGGGCTGAGATCCGGTGGGAGAGAATAGAGAAATGAGTGCCGGGCATGAGATGAGAGATGGGGGGAGTGTAGCAGAGATGGATTAATGTGATTGTGTTGTTGAGGGAAGTGGGTGTAAGGAGATATTTTGATGCTGAGGGAGAGGAGAGAATAGGAAAAGATAGAGCATTGCTCAGACGAGCAAGTACTTTGAGAATGAGCAGAAGTAAGGAGAATGAGAACTGAATGTTAGTGGTTAAGGGAGTGCAGGAATGTGCTGATTACAGGTAGTGTTTGCAGCTGTCATTTCTAATTATCTAAAGTTGTGTGTGAGATTCTATCTATAAATGGAATAAATAGCTTGGGGTGGGGGGGATAATGGAGAACTGTTCTGGTTTCCAACAGGAAACGTTTTAACTCAGACTGTGAAAGACAGAGATGACAGGGTCAAAAAAATACCTGCAATAAAGCTATGGAATGGAGATGCATAGAGGAAATGAGCATTGGTCAAGCAAGACATTCGGGTGGGTATCAATAAAATAAAGAGTGGGTGCAGAAATAACAGAAAACGTCTTTAGAGGTAAGCAGATAGGTGAATAACATTTAAGTTAACAAGCCAACAATGTTGAGTAGGTTGAGAAGGGCTTGAACAACTAGCTTGAGCATGCAGGGCAAGGCAAAGTAAAATATGTTTGTATTATGAATAAACATCTACACATACAAACACAAATATATATATAGATCTTGATAAACCTGTGGGTCGAAATGTCGATTTTATTTGATACAATACAATCGAGCTTTTTTGAAAAACCCATTGAGTGCTCTCATTTTTTAATTTCTTATATAACCTTTATGCTGTGCAGCACCATGGTCATTTGGATTTAACCCCTTAAGGACTGAGTTTGTTTTTATTTTTTTTAATATATTTATATATCTATATATATAGAGAGAGAGAGAGAGAGATTGTAGCCGTATTAGTCCAGTGATGTAGATGTAAAAAACAGATAAAATTCTTATCTTGTAATACCTTTTTTATTGGACTAACAGAATTTTTTAATGACAAGCTTTCGGGAGAACCTCCCTTTCTCAAGTCTGAAGCAAAATTCTGTTAGTCCAATAAAAAAGGTATTACAAGATAAGAATTTTATCTGTTTTTTACATCTATATATATATATATATATATATATATAAATATCAAAATACTTTTAGAATGAAATTGCATATATATATATATATATATATATATATATATATAATTTTACATTGTTTTTATTATTTAATGTATTATTTTGTTTTTATTATTATCCTTTATTTATGTAAAGGCTTGCCTGGAGTTGTGGGAGCGGCGTGTGATCCTATTTAAACTCACCCCCCTTTTTCTGCATCACCTTTGACTTCGGCAGGTATCACTTCCGGTTTCAGACTTCCGGGTTACGATCACTTCCGGTTCGCGGTCTGTGCGTTCAGATCGGCTAACAGCTGCGTTTTTTCCAACATGCTCGGGGGGCACTAAAATCGTGAGTCTTGCATACTCCGGTCCCCTCACCATCTGCCACACGCCGGATGGTCCATAGGGGTGGGGGGGCTGGCAGTAAAACGCACAGACACATCAGCCAGAGACCACACAGGTCTCCACACTGCTGACAGGTTTCGTTTCAGCTTACTTAGTACACTATTAAAAAGAAGCTTACATGCTTCTGGGGAAGTTAAACTGTAAATACTGTATCAAATACCACAGTACAACTACTGGGCGGCATATGTATACTGTTATGACATAATACTTGCTTCATACTATTTTATACTTAACACATACTAACTAAACTGCATACCAATGTATACTTTGTCATACTACTTACTGCATACTACTGTATACTTAGCACATACTAATTAAACTGCATACTAATGTATACTTTATGTCATACTACTTACTGCATACTACTGTATACTTAGCACATACTAACTAAACTGCATACTAATGTATACTTTATGTCATACTACTTACTGCATACTACTGTATACTTGGCACATACTAACTAAACTGCATACTAATGTATACTTTATGTCATACTACTTACTGCATACTACTGTATACTTGGCACATACTAACTAAACAGCATACTAATGTATACTTTGTCATACTACTTACTGCATACTACTGTATAATTTATGTCATACTACTTACTGCATACTACTGTATACTTAGCACATAATAACTAAACAGCATACTAATGTATACTTTATGTCATACTACTTATTGCATACTACTGTATACTTAGAACATACTAACTGAGCTGCATAATGATGTATACTTATTTTCATGCTACTTGCTGCATACTACTATATACTTATCATATACTAATTAAGCTGCATACTAACGTATACTTATTTCATACTACCGTGCTGCATGCTACTACATACTTATCACATACTAACTGGGCCGCATTCTAAGGCATACTTTTATTACATACTGCTGGCTACATACTATACTTATCACATACTGCTGTATACTTTTATTACAGACTACTTGCTGCATACTAACGTATAGCTCATTACATTCTACGTACAGCACTACAGTAGTACATACTGCTATGTAACACACTACTAGGCTGCTCTACGGTATTACATACTACTGGGCTTACCACTACAGTTCAGATGGTGTTACATTATATTGTGTTATAGGCTACGGTATGCCATGATACTATATGACTTGTTACATACTACGGTGTTATATACTACCATGGCACGAGTGGTTCGACATGCGGCGGTATTTCATGCCACTTTACTACGTGATTGTAGGGCATATTCTAAGATACGCACTACATGATAAAGACTAGGTCTGAATGCTGGCAACTTTTCTGGCCATTCCTCTCGGATAGGGGCAGCCTCCACAGCCTCCAGCGAAAATATTCTAATACATGTAATCAAGTCTTTGGGCCGCTGGAAGTCCTCAGTATTTGCTTTGTATATACCTCAACCTGTGTTAGAAATTAGGGCGGCTTTTGTTAAACTGTCATCTTGAGGTATTTTCTTTGCACTATGTTTATCTATGTAATATTTTCTTTGGCAAAGACACTGCTTATTTTTGCCCTCTTTATTACAGGCCTACCGCATACGTCGGTTGCGGCACACTTCAACCGACTTGTTCATACCTATGGCTACACCATACTATACATATGTTACGTTACAAGAATAGCACTGAACACAAATATATATATATATATATATATATATATATATATATATATATAAAACTCCATAATACATGTATTTTTTTTTTTTCAGTTAATACATATTAAAGTTTGCCAGATTGGTTATGTTGCCTTCCAGACCGTATAGAAGCTCCATCATGGCATACCATTTGCAAAAGTAGACTCAATATGTCCAGGCATTTTTAGTAGCTACTTAGTCACAAACCCTGGCCAAAGTTAGCGTTCATATTTTTATTTTTTTTGCATTTTTCATACACAAACGTCAATATCACCAACGTTATCATCGTTGTGATACGTTTACTGTTTTGAAACACTAATATTCTCCCGAGAATAACAGTACCCCCCATGTACAGGTTGTATGGTGTCTTGGAAAGTTACAGGGTTAAATATAGGGTTTGCAAATTAAATTCTCTGGACTAAAAATATTACCTAAATATGCACGTAGAAATAAAATATATTTTTTATTCTTATTTTTTTCTATGCAATACTAATTAATGTGTAAATGTTTACTGCCCAGTCATGTTTCTCATCTCACCATGTTTCCGTTATGCCTATTATGTCATACTGCGTAGTGTATGCTATTGCCTGTCGCTCCCTTATTTTGTTATTTAGACTCTTTGCATTAGTAAGCATACACTTAATACTATCAAGAGTCACTTGTACATTTTGTTAATTATTATTACTATACTTCTTCTGTTCTGATCTTTCCCCTCCCCCATCTCCACCCCCACTTGTGTAGAGCTAAAGCTCATCTCATTTCTGTACTATCTCCATTTTGTAGATTTCTGTGTACCCGCCCACCCCTCAACCTCTAGTTATAAATCTACACCAACCATCTTCTCCCTCAGCACAACAGACCCTCATCGGTTTAAGTGCAATCCATCACAGCTATAAATATTGTATTCAAGCACAAAAAAAGCCAAAACCCTTCTTCCTACACCATAGTCATGCATTAACCTCCCTAATCTCCAGCTGCTTTTCTACTCTAGTTCACAGCACAAGTAATATCTCTGAAAATACTACCTTGGAGGTCCTTTTCTTCAGTTTACTTCTTAATATCCTAAACTCACTCTTTGGAGTCTGTCTAGTCAATAGATTGAAAGCAAATTTTTCAAGCCCTGTATTACAAGATGTGCATCGAGTGAAACCTGCAATCTTGCTAACACCCATTTCCACAATTACCAAAAACACAAGTACGTAAGACAGTAAAACAATATTTACATTGTTGGTTTAAACTCCTTGTTAGTTTAAACTCCTGTATATTAACTCCAACTCCTGCTGTTTCTGTACCTAAACTGACCTAAATATAGCCTACTTAAAACAGACTACTTTTAAGCAAGTGAGCAAGCTCAGTGAGTCAGCTGCAAGTTTATATAGGTATAGAAATACCACATCAGATGCACTCATGCTGTGCTAAATAAACTCAGAGCACTAAGCCCATGGGGCTTTGTATCTCCTGTCCTTACCTCCCACTGTTTGTAGGGTACAATCCTCAACTAGCTCTTTATTGAGGTTCCACATTTTTATAAATAGGCTGTGATCTAAATGATGTGAAATTTGTAATGTGTTTCAGTACATTTTGTGTTTTTCTGGTAGTCTAATGAGAAGAGTTACATGCAATCAAAACATTGATTCTGTTAAGGAAGTCTAGTTGTCCGTAGGAACACTGTTATGAAACATGATGTTTTATATTATTATTTTATATTTGAGAATTACCAGACAACTGCCCATACCTCTTTATACTTTATTACATTTGATGTAATCTGTAACATACAGCTCGCTTACTAGGCCTGACTCCTGCTCTATAGCGAGTCGTCACCTTATTCTCTTAAATGATGGGCTTCAGGTACTCTTCTACACCAGAATGGCGAGAGAGAGTCGAGCCGAGTTCTAAACAAAGTTCTTGGTGCCTCTCAGTGTAGTGATTATCTATGATCTGTGTGCACATCATTCCTCATGGCTCTCCCACACCATTAAAGTGAGAATTGAAAGGAGGACACTGCAAAAGAAGAGAGGCAATGTGAATGAGAGAAGGGTGGCACGTAGTGTTAATTTTGGTGGCAAATTTCAATTTAGTTTTAGTTATAGTCTTTCGACTATAAATCCATTTTTGTTTTAGTCATCTGAATTGTTTTAGTTTTAGTCTAGTTTTAGTTGACTAAATCTACTGGAGATTTTAGTCGATAAGACTAATATCTAATGGGTTTAGTTAAAGCTGTCTCTTTTGCCCCTTTGTGTCCTCCCAGCCAGTGGTGTATCCTGGTTTTGTGCTGCCCTAGGCAGGACAAAACTCAGGCGCCCGCCTCCCCCCGCACCATCCCCACCCAACCCTTCCCCCCCGCCCCACCTTCTAAATACACACACAGTCAGACACACACACACACACACACAGACACAAACACACAGTCAGACACATACAGACACACACACACACACAGTCAGACACACACACAAACACAGTCAGACACAGACACAAACACAGTCAGTCACAAACACACCCACAGTCAGACACACACAGTCAGACACACACACAGTCAGACACAAACACACACACACACAATCACTCACATTAACTTTTTTTAACACACGCCCCCCAACCTCCTTACCTTTGGGAATGCTCTCTCTCTGGTGGTCCAGTGGCTGCCAGTCGGGCTGGGTGGCGCTGGCTGATGGTCGGGCGGGCGGCTGGCGAGGGAGCACTTCCCCTGAGCTGACTGCTCAGCTCCCTTGCGCGCCGCAGAGTGAGGCTGGGAGCCGGAATATGACGTCATCTTCCGGCTCCCAGCCTCACTCTGCGGCGCGCGAGGGAGCTGAGCAGTCAGCTCAGCGGAAGTGCTCCCTCGCCAGCCGCCTGCCAGCGCCGCCCACCCGCTCGGCATGTCTGTTAGCCACGAGGCTAACAAGGCATTTGCCCTTGGCATTTGGGGGCGGCGTTTTTTGCCGCCCCCTGAAAAATGCCGCCCAAGGCAAATGCCTTGTTTGCCTCGCGGCTGATACGCCCCTGCTCCCAACCCCTCTAGGTGTTTTTCTCCCAAGCCCTGGTCTGTCTCTTTTGCCCCTTCCACAGCCCCTCTGTGCAGTGTTAATTTTGGCAGCAAATTTCAATTTAGTTTTAATCATAGTCTTTTGACTAAAATGCCATTTTAGTTTTAGTCGTATTTTAGTCATCTTAATTGTTTGTTTTAGTCAACTAAATGTCAAAGATTTTGACCAAAATTAACACTGGTGGCCCTTTATAGTAAACTTCAAAAGAAAACAGAGAGTATAAATTAGGCTTGAGGAGGGGTGGTACTTTAGGTTAAGCTGCAAAAGAAGATGGAGAGTGTAAGTGACAATTGAGAAAAAAGATGTCACTTTAGGAAAAGTAGCAAAAGAAAGGGGGTGATGTAAGTGAGAATTGAGAGCAGGGTAGCACTTTTGGGGATACTGAAACGCAAAACAATGCAAGTGAGAATGCAGTAGTTGTCATGCAGAAATAAGTTGCTTTAAACTATTTGGGCTTATGCTTACACATTACAGATTATTTTAATTAAATATATTTACGCAGGTTATGTACTATATAAGCTATGTGGATTTCTACTTATTGCTTAAAAAAAATCCCTTTCTATGTTCTAGGTTTCCAAGGCTGCAGCAGATTTGATGGCCTATTGTGACGCTCATGTTAGAGAAGATCCACTTATTCTTCCAGTGCCTGCATCAGAAAATCCATTTAGGGAGAAAAAATTCTTTTGTACTATTCTTTGAATTTGTATTAGTCAAGTTTAAATAGAGATTATGCATGCCAATAGCATTACAGGATTTTTACAGGGTTATAAATTGACACCATAGCATACATGCCAACATTCTATGAAATATATACGTATATCCTTTTGTAGTGGATGCTTCAACAGCTAACATTTTGACTTACACAACTTTTTATCATGTGAAACGTTTATTTGACTGTATCGACTGCAGAATCTGTTCAAACTTCAATGTTGTATGTTCTAGCCCCAGCACAGTCATCTCAGCCTTCATCCTCCCTAGGTAGATAATAATAATATTAATTGGGACATTAATCAGTTGTCAATTCAGTTACCCTTCTTAATCACTTTCAAATATATTGTAAAGTACTTGGATATTATTAATATTATTAAATACTATGGTTCTAGTAAACTAAAGGCAGCTTTAATCAGCCTTGTAACCTCACAGAAGGAATAGGTGAAGCAACTCTTAAGAGACTTTCCAGAAGAAAGAAAAAAAAAAGTAAATCCCCAATTATGGGAAGAAAGAAAGCGGGAGATTGTTTAAAGATTATCATCCTTAGAAAGGGATGTTGGCATGTGTTCTATGTATCAATATTTTTAGAAGCACAAGGAATTGTCACACAAATTATGTGATTATTTTTTTGTAGCTCAAGATTATTTATAGTAATCACTGCGCTAGCTAATTTTCTTGATTATAGGAGTAGCAAACAGCATGTAATTGTACTACTAACTAATATTCAGCGATAGGAGTTTGTGAAGTCACATGTTCCTCTGGGGAAGTTATGATTTTTTTCTTTTAAGACATTTAAACAGTGTTACAATACACCTATAAAAAAAATCCTAGAGAGGTTTACTGAAAATATTTCTTCTATGCCAAACTACATATAAAATGGTAAACAGACATGGAAACAGTTTTATAAGATTTTAGCCATTTTGTTACCTTTGTAATTAATAACTTAGATTTGTTTTTCGTTTCTCCTTCTAGTTAAATGAATGCAATGTTTGAATTTATGAAATGTATTACTATATTTATTAAGAAAAAAATCTCAGTCATGATTTTGAAATGCATAGATTTTTTTTTTTTTTTTGTAGAAAACATCCTGTCATAGACTGAAGAATACAATATCCACTCCATACTCTGCCTATGTAGGTGTTGTGGTATGTGAACGACATTTTGGAGATATCAGCATAGTCAACTGCTGCCTGTACATGCTAATAAGTAATTGAATGCTTGAGAACAAAAATGCTTGTAGTGAAGTTCTAGAATTATGCCTTTTTGAGTATTTATAAAACTGAAACTTTCATAGTATATGTAATTTTTATAATATATTTACTTGAACCAATTGACTTTAAGAGGGGCATTTATTGGAATTTTCCATAACAAAACAAAATTTATAGTGGATTCAGAGTTTGTTCAATAAAAATAAATATCACAGGAGACATATTTTACAACACACTGCACTCAGTTTTTAATACTCTTGTGCTTGATGATATCCAACTTCAAGTTGACAGTGATACATAAAATATCTGTGAATGATTTTGAAGTGAAGAGGATACTTTACCTCTTTCAATGATAAATTGCAAATAGTTTCTCTTTTTGGTTGTGTTTGTTTTGGATTTCTTGACCAGTAAACACAGATATTTGTAATAATTTCACTTCATTGACTTGTCTTTTTTTTTGTATGACTGAGTGTGGTTGTTCTGCTGTGTCTGTTGACTTAGCCATACTTTTGTCCTTCCAGTGCCTCTCCTCATCTAGCTTATCCAATTGTTGGTATTATCACTCAGTGAGTACGTCACTTTTACCAAGAACGATTTTCAAATCATTCTTGGCATGATCATTAGAGGAGGAGGCAAATTATTTCCATAGAGGTCAGATTTGAGCATCTATGCTTTCCAGAGCACATCCACATTACCACACAATCCCCATGTTGGGCTGCATAGGCTATCAAATAAGATAATGTGCAATATTTTACAACTTTAGAATTTATTTTTTTATTATTAGCATTTATATAACACCAAATATATTCCACAGCACATATAACAGCCCTGCTCAAACATGCTTACAATTTAGGAGGAAGTAGAGAGGAAGATAAGGGAAGAACAGTGTACCAGAGGAGAGCTTTACAGATATTATGCCTGTGTCAGTTTTTAAACATTTTGTATGTTGATGACTTATTAATGTGCCTCACTTAAATACTGCTAAACAAATTCCAATTAGGGTAGAGACCACCCGCTTATTGTCACATGACCAATCCAAGTGATGACTGACGTATCACAATAGCCAATTAAATCACCGGGGCCCTGTCACCAGCAACACATGTAGAGCAGGGGTAGGCAGCCTTCAGCACTCCAGATGTTGTGGATGTCATGATCTTGTGCAGGTCAGGGATGAAACTGAAACTGGGGTTAACTTCAGGGTCTTTATTTGTGATCTAAGACATTATAGTATGAACAGGATATCCTATAATTGTAGTTATAGGAAAGAGGGAGAGATATAGTAAACAGAACCAAATATCTGAAATTACAGGGAAGTAAGTAGGCTATGAAATAAAGTGTTTCAACAATAAGCCCAAAGTGGAAATAAGGTAAAACTATAAATGAAGTTATAGGTAGAAGATTGAAGATAAACCTGTAAGAGAAATTATAGGTACAGTCTTGAGGGAAAACAGAAAATAAGATTTAGGCAATATGCCCCAGAACCGGATATAAAGAAACCGGGAAACCAATAAGAGAGATAGATAAAGCAAGAGAATGAAAACCTTTTAATGAGATCATAAGTTACAGGAAAACAAACAACAACTAAACAGAACTGGACAGAAATATAAAGATTACTTTTATAGGTTTGTAGTTGTTCAGTCTCTTTGGATTAGAGGTTGTACTGTAGTAGCAGGTCCTTTATGATAGATGCCAATATAATCTGGAATATTTGTAAATCCAATGTAGGAGTAACACATGTAGTCACAAAGTAATACATTAAAGTCCAGTATAGATTTAAACTAGTTGAATGTCAAGCAGGAATTTAGGGTTGTTCAGGCTGCTATGGTGCAGGTCTGTAGATAAATCAGGAATGTAGAGTTGTTTAGGCAAGTCTGGAGCGGGTTGGTGAGTAAAGCAGGTAATGAAGCCAATACGGTAAGTCCATAGGTTATAACACAAGAGCCACGATTCAAAGCATTTCAGGCAATCATCAACTTCAAAGTCAAGGCCATAAGGTGAGTTGGGTGTAACTTTTTATAGGATCTGAATTAGTCCAGGCAGGTAAGGATGAGATGGAAATCTCTGTGCTAGTGGTTAGGGAGGCCACTAGTGGCAAATAAAATCAGTGCAAGAACTTGGTTTTTAAAGAAACAGAACAAAAAGTCTTGTTTGTCAGGTTAAGATCCTGACCGTGGAATACATCTCTCATTGTTCTCTTACAGCCATAATGCTGGCAAAGCATCAATGAAGATGTAGTCCACAACATCTAAAGTGTCACAGATTATCTACCCGTGGTTTTCAGTAAGAGAGCAATGTGGATTTAGTAGAAAAGGGAACAACCATGTATAGGTGTATCAAAAGAAAAAAGGAGCTTCACAATGCAAGTGATCTCCCCAAAGACCATCAAGCAACTCCTAATATCGAGGGTTTAACCCTGTTACATTGTATCATGAAAGAGCTATAAGTGTTTACCCAATTTGAATGGGTGGACACCAAAGAATAAAGCTAAAAGATATACATAATACTTTATTGAGCTCAAGAAGCAAAATAAAAATTAAGAAATGTGTATTTGCAAAAAACTGTAAGGAAGTGTGTAGTTATTGTATGCAAAAGCTATTTGGTAAAGGTACTTAAAGCAAGAACTACTTGGTAAATCAGTCGCTAAATTATTATTTGTGGTTGGATACAATAATCCAAATTATTATGCTGTGGTGTAAGTCAGTTGTGCTGTGCTGTGTCAGAACCGAAGTTCGGGTAGGCCTGTAAAAGAGGGCAGACTAAAAGGAATGGTTTAATAAAGGGAGTGGGAAAGCATTGGGAGGCTATTGTGCATGCACGGCAAAATGCAGCTCTGAGCCAGTCAGCATCTCCTCATAGAGGAAAGTTCAGCACCTCCATGCAGAGCATGGAGATGCTGAATGACAGTGCTGTGAACCAGGAAGCACCTCTAGTGGGGACTGTCCTTAGGGAGCAATGTAAACCAGTGGTAGTCAACCTGGTCTCTACCGCCCACGAGTGGGCTGTTTGAGATTTCAGGTGGGCAGTGGTGGCAGAAAATGCCCAGTGGGTCTTGATGGCCGTGAAGAAAGGCTGGCATCTCACCTGCTGGCCCGCACTCTGTGTTCCTCTCACGGCCAGGCTGATCAGAGCGTTGCCGCACGTTACCATGGCAATGCTCCATTGCAGTGCTGTGTTCGCAGGAGGAGGAGCATGCAGAGGGAGGAACTGCAGGCTAAAGTGAACATGCCACCACTGGACCACCAGGGCTTGCAGTAATATATCCCCACTCCCTGGTAAAAGGTAAGAAGAAGGGAGGGGAGACATTAAGATAGATTTTCACAGCAAGATCCTATGCACGCTTCACACTACACCCCTCACACACACACGACATCCCTCATGCACACACTGCCCCCTCACACTGACTGCCCCTTCACACACACATACTGTCTCCTCACACACACATTGCCCCCTCACACAGACTGTCCTCTCTCACACACACACACAGACTGCCCCGTCACACATGCACTGACTCTTCACACACGGTCTCTTCACACACACACTGCACCTTTCACACATACAAATCACTCTTCATACACACACACACAAACACAGCACCTGACAGACACACATAGAAAAAAAAATTTAATACATATTTCTTCTTTTTTTTAACTAATTTTTTAAATCAAACAAACAAAAAAACGCACTTGCGCTATAAAATTAGTTACTGCGGCACTGGTAGGCGGTAAGGAAATTTAACCATCAACAAAGCTACAAAAGTGGGCGGTAGGTATTAAAAGGTTGACTACCCCTGATGTAAACAATGCCTTTTCTCTGAAAACCTGCAGGGACTGACTATACTCACGAGAACAACTACAATAAACTATAGCTGTTCAGGTGACTACAGTGTAAATTTAAAACGGAAACAAAAAAAAGGCAAGCAAAAAAAAACAAAGTGGAGGAATAAGTAATAGGGAAAAACTATTTAATCTAATCCCAGAGGAAAGCCACAAATACAAAAAATGCTTCCTAAATTAATGAAAAAGAAAATGTATTAGCATGTAAGTTTCCAAATAAGAAACTCAAATCCCTCTCCAGAATAACAGACAAACTGCATAATGAGTATCTCAAGTAATGTAGACTATGGCACATGTAAAGTCCCTGTGTTCTATAGTCATATTAATAGTGATTCAAAGATTGCATATTACCGCTCTCTTCTCACACAAGCCATTGTATGGCAATAGCACATCTAGATCAGTGGTAGGCAACCTTTTAATAGAACTGTGCCAAAACAAGATCTTGAAGTACCTTGGTGTGTGTATGTTGTCGTATTGTTTTTGTGCTATTTATGGGTGCTGTAGTTGCTTGGTAACTTTGTATTTGTGTGTGTGTATGGGCTGTTACATTGTCTATGCTCATGAGTAGTTTGTGGTATTGTATATGATACCTATGAATGTGGGTTTTATATTGGGGCTGCTTGTGGAATTGTGTGTGTGAGGCTGTTTGTGGGGTTGTGTGGGCTGTGTGAGTGTATGTGGATTGTCAATGGTGTTGTGGTTGGGTTTTTTTTTTATTTGTGTGTGTATTTGAATGAGGAAGAGACCTCTTCTGCAGCTCTGTGCAGCTCTGTGTATATATAGCAGTCCATTGGGGACCGGGCTGAGGAGCTCCAGGGAGGAGCTGCAATGGAGTAGCTGTGAGCTACTCTACTTAAGAGCAGATTGCCATTGACAGTAGCTTGGAGAAAATGATCTGAAGTGCTGCAATATATAGCTTGAGGATTGTCCCTCATTACCTGCAATCAGAGGTCAGGTTTCACAAGTAGATATCTGAAGTCCCACTGGGACTCCTGATAGGACAGAGCCTGTTTGTTTATGGTAGCCTTGAGTGCCGTGCAAGGGCACCTCGAGTGCCATGCATGGCACATGTGCCATAGGTTGCTGACCCCTGAGTTAGAATCATAACTGAAATTAAATAAGACACATAATAAATTAATAATGAGTTATAAAAACAAAAGGATACATGTAAGTGAGGTATACTAGCTAAACAGCTGGCAAAAAATACCTGCAAAGATAGCAGATGCCAGCCTGGTTGAGAAATCACCAAGATAGAGGCCAATATAAGTCTGTAGGGAAAAAATGAAAATCTTTTTTTATATCCATGTCAGCATCACCTATGGGTTAGCTCCTCCCTCTCAGCTGATAGGACATGAATCTTAAATTTAACATAATGATATATAAGGAGATCACCTCCACATAAACAGCAGTCTCATAGCCAAGTCAGACCAAAACTAGGGAGGGTATGTTGATGCGGACATTAAACCAGGACAAGAAAATTATGATAAATATGGCAACAATTTTCGGTTCTCCTGGCCAATCCATGTCAGAATCACATGTGGGACTTCCCATGCCAAATTGTAGAGTGGGTAATGAAACACAAAAACTTAATCTCCATGAAAA